TCAGTAAAATTTGTTACAATCATTATTAGCTTCACAAATATGATTACGACGAATTTTTCCTAGCCATTAAAGACTGAAAGTACAGTTAATCGAAACATAAAGTCATTGCAGTACAAAACATCTGATCCATAACTCTATGTGTTCATAGTTGGAATAAAAGGCATAGCTCTTCTTAATATGAAAACTAGACCAGGAATTTTCATTTCTTTGTCATTTATGTGTGGAAGCAAAAGAAAAAAAGAGCGAATTCCGAAAAAGAAAAAGATCCTGAAATTCCAAATTTGATAAAAAAAATAGAATCACAAATGTTGGCAACAAACATTCGTGATTAATCACAATTCATTAAATAAATGACATAATCATTAGTTCTTTATCCTATATCGTATCGCACAGGATTGTGGAGAAAGAAAACTTCATTTAAGAATAAACTTTAATCTGCAGCAATAATAAATGGCTCGGTTGGTTCATCTAATTTCTTGTTCACAAGTCCTTGAAAATCACAACAATGATCGATGAAAAATTAATCGTTCATTATATTCTTCATTCAGATACAAAGTTTTTTAGTAAATAGTGTTTCCTTTATAAACATGGTATAATAAAAAAGCAAAGCTATAGACTCTGCACTTATGAATGTGAGATATAACGAAATATTTGTTACAACCCAAGATTTATGATCTTGCAGACGAATAGGCTAAGATTTCTCAATGCTGTATGCCAAAATTTGTGGTGCCAAATGATTATTCCTTTTACAACGACAAGTCTGTTGAATTCTTTTTAATAGTGAGAACAATTTTTTTAATGGTTTTCTATTCGAATATTCTATGGTCAAAAAAGAAAAATAACTTGAAAATTACCAGTTTCAAAATTTGAACTTCCAGCATTTTCTGTTAGGCCAGATTTAGCTTGTTTCGGTTGTTGTCCCCGCGGAATTTTCTACAGAAGAAAGTAATATAATTTTTGTTCTTATTTTAAAAAACTTTATAATGATTTAACCAAGTTCAATAAAAATGTATAAACCCATATATTTAATTTAGCCGAACATTGAAATATAATAAGTTGGTATAACAAGGAATAATGTTATGTTGTACGATCAAAGTTTACCCTGCACGTAACCATTCTATGAGTAGCTAATAGTTTATTACAGATGGTTATCCAGATATCAGAGAGCCTTCAAATGTACACCTATCTTCACAAATTAAATATAAACTGCAAGCTCATCAGCTAAAACCCGGTGTAAATAAATGACAGAACAGAAAAAGAGCAAAGTAAATTCGCTTACTTCGTGGATGAACAATAAATTAAGAGCTCACTTCCGAAGTAGGTCTAGCAGCACTATCATTTCTATCACAAACAGTAGTTGCTGCAACAGCGGCAGCAGCAGCAGGACTAGTTATAGATTTTGCATGCCGTATTTCCGGCTTGGCCCGATCAAAATCTCCTGCTGCAACAGAAGCAGCAAGTTGACTAGCAGTCTCCGGATCTATCTCATCACCTTCATCTAGCAGTACATAAACCGGTTCACCATTTGCACCTTTCAATGCCTGTACCTAAAAACAAAGAGCGTAATGATCAAAGTGAGCAAGTTTTAATTCCAATTTATATTTCTAATTCATAATTTGACTATATAAAAGCAAGCGGATAACAAACTTTTTTAAAGTCGACACCATATTGCGCTTTGAGCGTTGCAATTGTGGCTGGATCGGTGATGATACCTTCAGAATGCTCTGCAACAGAAAGAGAACCTGAGTGGGATACAAATATATATAAATCTTTCTTTCAAATGCTTTAGCTGACACTTCAAATCAAATTCAACTAACCCTGACTTCGCGCCATTCGCCTGCCTTGCAAATTATTACCCTGCAATGGAACACTTTTAAATAAAAAGCATTTTGCTTAAAAATTTGCTTAACTTCGAAAATATTAATGCATGCAGTGACAGTGCAATTCGCAGCTCATGTAGGTTGGTTATTTCATCACCTTCATCCAGCAGTATAGCAGGAAGAACTTTAGTACTAGTGGTGCCGCCAGCAAGATTTTGATAGCTTCTGGCAAGAATATTAGAATTTTAATATGCTGTATTAATTGTTCCTATTGCTTGTTTTGTGATTTCAGGCAACTGATTCAAAATTCATATTTTAGCCACTATTCAATTTCTTTGTTCGAAACTAAAGGAATTTGCAGTTGCAATTATTTTTAAAAAACGCACCGCATCTGTAGCAGAAGCAAATTCAGGCATTAAATCCGGGTGCTTAGATCGAAGGTGACGAATAGCTCGACACATATTAAACGGTCGATGCAGCATATATGTCATGTTGCATACTAAACATTCAATCAATTGTGGATTGATGAATTCCATACATCCATCGGAAATCCTTTCCAATCTTGTCTACAACAAAAACTGTTTTAAATCTCTAGCTTCCTGATGCATATCAAGAATTACTATTAGATAATGACTTTGAAATATATTTTACTCCCATAATATCTAGAAGAAAGCAGCAGAGATTGGACATAAATCGCAATAGATGGAAAAATTCCAAAACTATAGTACGCAAAAAAATTGTTTTGGATCATTCAAACATACTTCCGCCTGGACCATGAGCAAAATATAATTTTAAATGTTCAAAAATCATTCACTTGCCGTCTGTGCAAAATTTGTGCAGAGAGCATTGGTCGGATCAGGTTCAAAAATTTGAAAAAAAGTGGAAGGAACGTTTCTTTAACCTTGCATAATTCATACTGCATGTTGTGCAGATGATGTGGATGTTCAGTTCGGTAATGACGTATTGCACCTGCACTTATTACAGCTGCTAAGATATCGCCATTACATATCTTACATTTCCAATGGCAATCATTTACTGCTTCCACGTATCGGCTATTCACCGGCGCTGCTTGTCGCAAAGCGGGCATTATAAACTGTCGCTTTGGTTTACTTCGGCGACCTAAAAAAAATGAAGACATAAAAATACATTTGGATAGTGAACAGTGATATGGTTTGAGAGATAACAAGCCTTATTTTATATTTCAATATGTACAATGTGATGGATAATGGCTAGGCTACTTTTTACCTGATATAATCGATCAAAATCTCCAACAAGTCAACATAAAAAAAAAAAAACGATCTACATAGGTTACGTGAAAATGGGGAAAAAAAATCAGATAATATACCATCTTTTACGAGATAACTTATACCACCTTTAATTCTTTTTAAACGCAATGTCATTTGAAAATCTGAAGCAATTAATACCAACCGAATGTCATCCGACTGTTAACAAAACTTGTAGCTCTTTCTTCCTCCATTTCATCGTCCTCTATATCATTCGCATCCTTTCCTTCTTCACAGTGTTTAATTCGTTTTTCTATCGCTATAAAAATACCATTTTTGAGCCAATGGTACAATTATAATTAAATGCTGGGCGAACTTTTTTTTCGAAATAATTGAAAATTTTTCTTGATGCATCGTTTGTAAATATTTGTTACAGACACATCTGGAATATATGTATGAGGACTAAAGTGGAAAAAAAATTGTAAGAATAAATCATTATAACAAAACAAACCACTATGTAAACGGGCTTCTGATGTATGCATCGTACCATATTTCCCACACCTTATGCGATGTTCATCCGGCATTGAAACATCAAATTCATCGCCATATTTCTCCAGCAAACGAGCATTAATAACAAGTTCCTTAAAAAAATGCATTAACCAAGAATACTCACTGAAAATCAAGATGTCAAAACCTATAATGAATTTACCTGTAGACAAAGATTACATTTTGGCACTTCAACTTCTTCAGGGTGAACTTCCGAGAAATGCATAGCGAGTGCTTCTGCTGCCATAAACATTCCACACCAAATACACTGTAAATTAGCTCCGCGATCAAGCGATGTGTCGATGACAGCAAAATCTTGAACTGATAAAGGTTTTCCGAATCCTGGCTGTGGCTTCTAAAAGATAAAAAAAATCATCAAATGTAGTAAATTTCAATAATAAAATTCAATAATATTCAATAATAAAATGAGCTTTCTACCAAAAACAGATGAGATATAGAAAAAACATAAATATAAATTAATATGCATATTACACAATTAGAGCAATATGAAAAACATGGTCAAAGAGAATAAATGGATTTTTAAACAAGTTGAAGCTGTTTAATAATAACATCTCAATATCATCTACGAATGGAGTTCACTGATTTTTAGAATAAACCTGGAAAACCAAAGATTTTATTCTTATTCAATATTCCCCAGACGTCAGGGCAACAGAAATCATCTAAGCCGATGGGGAAAAGAATTTTCCAACCTTTAATTTCCACTTTCCCGCACACTGATGGACCGATGGATGCCATGCATTGAAATGTCGAACTAGATGAACAACTTCAAATTTACGATTAAGCGATACTACCGCATTGCAAATACCACAACGTGCATGTTGTTTATCAACCAAAGTTACAGGTACCTGTATGCAATATTTATTATCTTATCTGCCACTAATAATATCATTGTGTCAACCATTATGTAAGTTTGTGATACATTGTCAACTTGCCTATCAATGATTTCAATAGTTTCTAATAAAAATGAATAGAAAGAAACGAAAAAGACATCATCATCTAATAGGTAAAGTTAAAGTTATAAAACCACATAGTCTCAAAAAATATCTCATTTTGCAAGCATTTCAACAGAGAGAAATGTAACAGCGATTAAAGCCTGACGCATTTACATAAAGAATAAACTGCAATTTTTCCTTTTTTGATCCTGTTAAATCTCACGTCCAGTCTTGTCAGAAAATGCGAATGAATAACACAGAAGTATAAACATACCGTGCGACCCAGCTTTTCAAACATTTTTTTCCGCAATGCTGTTATTAGCTGATTGAGCGACATTTCGTTTGGGTTGACGCGAATCTGAGAATAATAAAAATGTGCTACAATGAGCTTGAATACTTCATCCTAAGACTTTTGTGGTACTAAATAAAAATATAATATTTTTACCGTAGAAACGCTTCGATAAATACGACTGGAATTCTGACTAGATGGAAGATCATCATAGATGTTACACACGCTATTTTCCATGCGTCGCTTCTCCTCACTTAACTTTTCTCTTAACCAATTTTCATATGGAATATCTTCGAATGCTGTTACACCTTCTTCTAATACCTAAAAATTATGAAATAGAAAAATTAATTTATTGCAACAATATCGCCTTTTTTCATAATTAAAAATTATAAGAGAAAAATTAATTTATTGCAGCACTTTTTCTTTTATAAAAAATTACAGTGAGTTTCTCAGCATTTTCAAAGAAAAAGAATGGAAAGAAATATTGCAAATGTGAGTTACAAGATGATTTCCATTACCTCTGGGTGATGCTGCGGAATATGTGAGCTCAGCAGCAAATCATATAGGACAATTTCACCACATAAACCACAGCATATATTTTTTGAATCTAAGAAACTAAATTCAACATCTCGGAGATCGTGGCGTACGTTGGCTTCAACATTATCACTTTCGCTCATGAACAAAGTGTTATCGTCTAGAAGACAACAAGCATTGGTCAAGACTCATTTCATTTTGATAGCATAATGGTTCTGTCTGCTGAAGACTCACTTTCATGGAAAATGCGATACCAGAAAAAACCTATCATGTATGAATGTAAAACAAAGAGCAATGAAATGTAACTTAAGAGGTAGGAACACAAATCATTAAATCATTCTTCGTCCGAGAGAACCAACATCAATAACAGGAGTTAAGTATGTCACGAAATTAAAGTACTTAAAGAATTTAAAGCTCAGAAATTTTAAACTTTTCTCAAAGAAATTTAAAGAAGTTAAATATTTAAACAACAGAGAAGCCAATCTCTAGAAAAAGCTTGCCGTCAAGAGTTTGCCCAGGAGCAAGTTGTATGAATTGCTCTGTTCCGTTTGGTGTTTGAACACAGATAACTTGCATCTCACCCACACTGTCAGCAAAATTCGTTGCGTCCTTTAATCGAAAACAAGGGATCAAAAAATTAAACGAACAATATTTTAAAAACCTTAATTTATAAAATAACTGAATGAGAGAAACTATTTCAACCGAATAAAAACTACCCAAACCTACATCATGTTTATTCGCACTTGAACGCTGTACAGCCTTCTGTAGAGCAGGACTCTGAGGTTCTAGTTCCGGTGGCGCTTCATCATCGTTGGATTCAATACCATCATTGATCTGCTCGATCACATCCTCTTGCTTTGGCAAAGTACGACCTAAAATCCAATCGATATATAATAAAATACGATGAAAATAAAAAAAGCTGGTATCTTGTCATACCATGACTACTCAAAAATGACACAATCCGTTCGGCACTATGCTTTCTTGAGGATTACAACTACTTTCACTACTTTTTCTTAATGATGAAATTTGTACTGCTTTACATACTCAATTTAAAACATATCAAAAGTACAAGCACAAGCTTAATTTACCTTCTTCCTGCGTTTCCTGAATAGATTGGCTTCGCATGCGCTCCGCACTCATTGCATTATCACAACTACTTCCTTCTTCAGTAGCGTCCGCATTCACAAGGTCATCATCAGCTGCATATATCAGTTCCTCTTCTTCGAAGCTAGTTTCAATAAAATCACTATCGCTAAGACCAATCTCAGCATACATTACCTTTAAAAAATTTTGAAAAGTTGTGATTTCAGAATTTTTTTTATTCTTTAAGTTTTTTTGAAATTTAAGGATGCAAATCTAAATTACAGTTATCAATAGATCCTATCAATATTCAAAACAGCTTCTTCAAGTAGCATGTTAAAATCGGTATTGGAAAAAGCGTTATATCATAAAAAAGAAAGAAAATCAAGCACGGCTGTCAATTTCAATCAAAGAAAAAATTTTAGCATAATCAACAAATTTGATTTGACTCACATCATCAACATCATCTAACATCGGCTTTTCTTCATAATAGTACCGACTGAAAAATATAATAAAACTTTAGATGACATTAATGATGTTATTCTTACAGAAAATAATAAATTCAGAGGAAATATCTTTTTGAACAATAAAACTTATTTTAAATAAGGTTCTTTTTCGTTGATATACAAAAATAAAAAAGAATTAAAATGAAGAACCGCTGTCGAAAACAGTGGAATTTGCAGAAGTGAAGAAATTATATATTAACATTGTATGTTTCAATTTTCAAAAACACAAAAATGTTACACACCAGGCTCTTGCATTCCTGTCTTGCCCATCTCTCTGAAGTAATTCTCGTTGCAATCTTCTTTCTCTGTGTTTAGCCGCTTCATCTGAAATTTTTGTAGTTACAGCATCTCTTTTGTGTAAAGCCACTTAACTGTGCAACCAATGTCACAGGTTCCTTCAATCAAATTTAAACTCACCATGTTTACGTTTTGCAACTCGGACATGTGTTCGTTCAGTTGTCAGTAGAGGTGCAGTTGCCGGTATAGGCTTTCGTTCCAACCGCAGCATACCCGAAGTACCACTACCACTTGGCCCATCGTACCCATAACGGATATCATCATCAACGAATATATCACGTCTTGTTGGCGAAGTACCTTTCTGAGCTTGATTCAAAATATATTGTCGATAACTTTCGCCTAATTCGTCCTTCCGACGATTTTGAAATGCACTTGTTGCGTTCTTAACAGCTGGAAAAAAATATGACATCTGCATGTAACCAAACAGATAGCTTTATTCTCCAACACAGTTAGTGATTGGTGATTTTTTTCGAACCAAACCGGAAGTTCATATATTCATTCATTTGTTTTTTTCATGCTTGACACATTTTCACATAAGTTTACGGAACAAAAAAGAAAATCATACTCGATTCGACATCAAGTTCTGTCAATGGATCATCAGTACTGCTGACTACATCTATTGCATCATCTTCGTAATCATGCCCAACTTTTCCTTGATGCACAATCCGTGATTTCTAGAATTTTTTAGAAAAAATAAACTCTTAGTACTTGCCTGTAATCCATCTCCTGTTTACAAAATGAAGACCTAATTTTTGCACAACACAGATCTTCAATTCTGGAACGATCTGCCAAATTTAAAATTTCATTTTACAAAGAGAACATCAGCTTAATCTAAGAGCATGTAGCAGTATCAAAATTCTGGAAAAAATTCGTGAAAAAATGAGCATGTTCACAGAATGCTGCATTAACAATTAAAGAGAACAATTTAAAAACAAGTTTAAAGCAATAACTTGACGAAGAAAATGGTTGATAAAATCATAAGCCTTTCAAAAAACCTATTACTGCGCTGGAAAAAAAATAAAGTTATGGATTAAAAAAAGCATTAAATTTCAGTATCGAGATCTTACCGAAAGTTCATCACTTGGAACTAGCAAGCGAGAAGAATCGAAACCTGGTTTTTTAAAGCGTTTACTTGAACGCACGGATGGTTCGGGTTCACCACATGCTTCTCTAATTTCAGACTGATTCTAAAATCTCCTTAACCATAGAAAAAAACAATTGATGCAATATATAATATCTCTATATTATATATTGCAATATCTAACTCATCAACGTGGTTCTCAATGCCTATCAGTTTTGTATTTATTAACTTCTGCATGTCGCACAATTGAATGATAGGTTCTTATTGCAGCCTTTTATTTGTTAATAAGAATGAGCAAACCAATATTTAGATATTTTTAAGATAAACTGAAACTACATAGACTCCCTCAGACTGAAAAAAAAATTCACTTCGAGACAACCTATTGAAATTAGATTCTGCGGATCCCTTACAAAACACTAGTCAACATCATTAGTAAGCCTAGTTACATTATCCACTTCTGTTACCGCTTTTTCTGTCTCTATTGCTTGATAATATAAATTTTTCTATGCTTAAAATTAAAAAAAAAGTTCTCGAGTAATAATCCTTCATATCTTTATAGAAAATAGCAGTTCAGAAAGCTTACTCGTAAATCTTCTTGAACATCCGGAAATGGTTTTCTTCTAGTTTTTCTACCGGCAACGCCTGAAATTTTTGAATCAAAAGTTTCAAACAGATCTTTGCAAAAAATGAACCGGAATAATCAATGGCTTAATGATTTAAATAAATTTGAAAAAGTAACGATTTAGAGCTGTGTGGAATAAATAGCAATTTAAAAAAAAAATGTACTAACAAAAACGGCAATGAACCTGATTCAACTGCTTTTTCGTTCGTTGCAGTACTAATGTCACGGTCTTTGATCCTGAAACTATATTGTTAACGTATTAAAAATAATATAGCAAAAAATAATGTAAGAAAACGGAATCAGCAATAAGCTATGCCCTAAATTTCTTTGAAGATCCCTCTTCATTCTCCTTGACCACTTTGTTCTTATCGTTTCAATATCATGCATTCATAAATTTTTTTTACGATTTTTTCATATCTCATCTATTTTTGGCAAAAAGTTGTTCATTTTTTTGCAGACTTTTACTGTTTATTTCAAACGACTAACAGCAGTAAGAGCAGAGATAGTTTTAGGCAACCAACTACCAGAAGGATACTGATCTTAACAAAACAGAAACAACCAATAGAAAAACAACCAAAGAATAATCAAAAAATTGATAAGAGAAACTAATTAAAGAAACAAATCAGAGTCATTAAAAAACAAATTCCTAACATTATTAATAAAAACAGTACTCCAACATCCCATTCCGAGAACTAACATTATTACAAAATCCATGTCTGACTATTGAAGTAAAAAAGCAAGTGGTATACAACATATGTTGAACTATCATGTGTCCCAAGTAATTACTTTTATATTTTACCTTTCACGAGTAAAACCATCGTTTTCCTCTTCGGTTCGTTCTCTTGCACGTAACTTTCGTGGATTTTTGCTATCTGCAAAAAGCAGTCATATTACTATCACATACAAAGTTTTTCAGGGATCTGATCACTTACGAATAATGGATGTGAGAAATGTTATTCATATTTTTTACATAAATTACTGACCACCGTAATTAATGGAAAAAATTTATCTTTGATAAATATTTATCTTGGCAACTTCAGGATTATTTCTATTTTCACCAACGAAAATCATTCGTGTTTTTTCTAAATCATTAATTTTATTCTTGGACCTAAGCAACAAAATTTTCTTACATTATCATTTTAGACTTTATACCAATAGCATCATATAGTTATTTACCCTAAATTATATAAAAATGCTGGATAGTTGTAAATAATCTTTACATTCTAAAATATTTTTGAGAATTTTTCTCTTTTTCCAAACCATTCTACTGTTAAAAAGAAATGATCTATAGATAGAAGCTTCAAGTAAATACTATTAGTGGTATCATTTCTTAATTTCATCTATTTCATTATATTACGGTATACATTTTAAAGGATAATGGAAAGTCTCATCCCATCAACTTTGCAATAAAAAATTGAAAAGTATAGCAGTTACTCAGAGCAATACTATTACGATAAAAACTAAAAACGTATAAAGTTTACAACATGTAGTACAAACATCATTATTTAGACAAAGATACAATAGCAACAAAAAAAAAAACTTTAGAAAAGTACTATTGATAGCTATCAATCGTATCTTTATCCAAAGATAATTTTCGGAAATTTATTTCCACTTCTTCATTTATTTTTGATAATTTGCATAGATTTAAACAATCATTAAAATTTATTTTTTGAAAATTAAAACTGAAAAAAGGAAAAAAATGAAACAGGATGGTTATAAGGTTAATAACCTTCAGACATATATACTTGTCGTGTATATTTGTATTTTTATCACCAAATTAACCAAACCAATATTCTTGTTAGAGCTTTGCTCCTTCGAGCACTCGAAGCGATTCCCTGTTGGTCTCGTCTGGAATATACTTAGCGGTTAGTTTCAATGAAAATGGACGGAAGATGATGTCTCGATTCTCGATTGGTATTGTTTAGCCCGGTATTTCTCAGATGATTGCGATTGTTTGATATCGTAACATCGAGAAGAGAGAAGCAATTATTATGCGGTATAACGTATGAGATAGACATGAGAGAAGCACAGAGCTACTAAATCATTGCAACACTTCGTCCATTTCATCGACCCAATGACGTCATCAATTATAATAATGGTTCATTTGCGGGACGGGATGAAACGTTTCCAGATCATATTATGTTATACGTTCACGTTGTTTCATTTACATTTTTGTTTAAGTTTGATGTTAATTTTAATTTTTACATTAAAATTTCAGCAAGATTATTGATCCATAACTATATATCACGAAACTATAGCAAATGTATAAATGTAGGATATTAAAGTTCGGTTTTGTAATGCTATAACTATTTTAAATGCGATTGCACATCTCTGTATGACTTAAATATACGTTTATATGAAATGCTTTGTGATGCCGGGTATATATGTGTGTACGTGATGACACTTAATGCAATATTAGAAATAATCAATGCGTACTGAAGATTTCTAGCTTTATTTCCAAAATTACAGCTTTAAAATCAATAGTTAAGCCACAGATAAAGAGCCTACATGCGGCTTGTAATATCATGCAGTACTATTTTGATCTGAAAAAACGAAAAAACGTTTATAACTATTTCGTAAAATGTAAGTAGAACAATTCTTTTTGGCTTGTTTCATTTTCACATTGAATGCCAATTGAAGGTGGTAAATATCTTGACATACATTTGTGAAATGAAATTTATTAAATCAATATTTTTTGCCGTGTACATGAAGAATGACGTGAAAACGACATTTATATTTTACAAAATATGCATCATGAAAGTATTATGAAATGCTTTTTCAAAATAAATTTTTTTTCTTTTTTCGAAAACCCGAAAAGACTATCTGCCAAATTGGAGAAGTTAAGACATCACAGACACGTTAGAATATACTGGTCAGAAAAATCGTGAACGATGAAAAATATGCTTATTTTTACTGAGCCTAAGATTAATTTGAGTTTTTCGACGTATGATTCATTATTGCTGGAAAAAAAGAAATGTAGAATTACTACAAAACGAGACGACCTGTACTAGTTTAAATCAGGATATATATCACTAAAAATACTTAAGCAGAAAAATAAATAAACCTAAAACAATGTCAAAAAAAGGCGAAGTCTCATTCACATCCGAGTAAGTAGCAAATTTTATAAACCTAAGCTTTTCATTTTAAAGTTTTCGATTCGAAAATTAAAGGAAACTCGAAATCCCATAAAATAGCACTTGAAATCCCATAAAATGACGAAATCCTATAATTTTTTTTTGAATTTTGAATGTGTTGCCCTAATTGCTATCTTAGTATAAATTTAAACTTCAAAAAACATGATCTGAACTTCAAGCATTCTCACCGGTTATTTTCCAAAGCCTAGGAAACAACATTTAATAGCATTAGAAATGAAATGACCATATGTTCTCTTTTAGTAAATCCATCAACACCTATTACACAATTGTCTTGAAGAACCTACTAGAGGATCAATTGTCTCAGCTCTTCCCCAGGAAGTATTCCATCTGAAAAATTGACTTATAAAAAAATTGACATGGTAATCTAAATAATAAATCGAATGAGATAATTCTCGCAAAAATAATTACGTCCCTGGATTGCGTCAATCCCGAAGTTAAACTTATAGTGAATGGTAGGGGCGATAAAAACCAACAGATTAAACTCCCTGCGTCCAACCTTACAATGGTTTTTTCCTTATCAACCTCCTAAACCATAAAAACCACCTCTTCAAATTGCTACCATCAAGCGATAACTTTGCTACTAGATGATTTTTAAAGAGCTAAAATATCTTTGCTGGAAGAAGTCTTCTTTATCCCACTGCATGAGATACTATTTTAGAATAAAACTCGGATGATTACCTGGTCCCTTAGCAGTTTCTTCATATCTGCTAAATCTAACTCAAGCTCTTCAATCCGCTCAATTTTTTCACCATGTGCCTCTAGCAGATTTTCATGACGCAACCTTAATGCCTGAAATTTTGTTCTTATCTACTTTGGTTTCCAACTATCATCAAAATCTACAGTTTTCTGAAATTATCAGTAAGCAATTAATGAAGAATAGTTGATTACGATCTGTGAAATACAATTTTCTTCCTCCCTAAAAGATGTCTTCTGAAAAAGAAAACTATCCAATGATAACAGATGAACTTTCCTACACCTTCATAAAAACAGAAAGCAAACTTGCAACTCATGTCGAAGTGAATCCAAACATTGATTTTCGGCTTCCATTGTCGAAATTCTTTCTTCAAGTGTTGAAATTTGTCGCATAGACTGTTCATATTTGGCTAAAGCATCAGCTAGCTCTACCTTAATATATACGTGAATTGTTACTGTTTTATTAAAAATAGAATAGATAAAGTTTCAACCAACGGAAAGTTGAAAAATCAGTTCCTGAATCCCACAGTAACTTAATCCTGAAGAATTTCGATTATATCTATTACATTTTCTAACAATTATTTCTTCGAATTAATTTCTTATTCGTTTATTTACAATAAATAACTTTGTGCATTATTCGTTTATTTACAATAAATAATTTTGTACATTATAAAATTTATAAGGGAATCTCAATAGAATTCTGATGCTGAACATCATGTCATCTTTTTTCAATGATTACTGATTGATAATGTAGAAAATTATTTTAACAATAGCATCAAAATTACCTGAACGGCAGAATTCGGTACACTAAGCATAAAAGAACCACTGTTCGGCAGATGCTCTTGTACCCTTTCTTGCTCCATTAAATATTCACCATTTTTCATCGATAATTCTTTTTCCAAAACTTCGGAATATTTTCTAGCATCATCCAATTCATTTTGCTAAAATTTCCCAAAAGATTTTTCCTTTCTCATTTAAAAACTGAAATGCTAATTCAAAATTCTAACTTCATCGATTGTTATATTTCATCAAATGAAATTCTCACAAATGTGGTGCAATAGATTTAAATTTCTGGATAATTTGACAAGAACAAAACAAATTGTAAATGTAATTTTAGAAACCCCCTCAAATTGTCCAAATCTATTTAGACAGATAAATAATATATTCAATGAATAATAAACTGTCACACCTTTTGCATAATACGTTTTTCGAATGCATCTGCTTCATCGTTCAACTGTATGTAAATCCTTCCAATTTCAACTTCTTTTTCACTCAGTGTTTTTGTCAGTTCTTCTATTCTATGCAGTAACTTGCTTGAATTTACTTCCAATCTTGAAAAGGCTTTTTCTATCATTATTTTATCACGAAAATTTCACCATTTCTAAATTAATATACAAAAATTTTAATGCACAGAAAACTTGTCATTAGTCATGAAGCACCATCATATATTGTAATATCAGCTAATAATAAAATTGAAATGAGGACATCATAATAAATATCAAACTGCCCCATATTTAATAGATATCACAGGCAATAATTTATCTATTTCATGGACACAACTGCAGAAAATAATGCATTTAAAATCAAAAATCACTTCAGCCAATTTTTTTATAAAATAAAACTAACATCGAATTCTGTTGCTCAATCTGTCGCACATGTTTATTAAGTTTTTCTATTGTATCCAAGTCTCTTTGCACATGTTCTCGGAGCTAGAAACAAGAAAAAATGTTTTAATTAAATAAACAAAAACTTGTTCGTTCACTTTTTTCTGGAAATATTCCTTACGGAAGGAAAATACAACTGTGCTGTATAAGATGTAAAATATTGGGATCAACAAAATATGATGGCCTAGTCCAATCACTAGAAATTCATATCAAGCCAATAACATTCTAAATAACACAATATAAACTACTGATAAGATATTTAGCTTTTATCAAACATATCTCTCTCAATGAAATTATTGATATCCATAAGTATGTACAAAATTTGAAATCTACAATTTCAAATTAAAACTCCCCGGAAAAAATGCCGTAAAAGATATTTTTGCAATGAATCAATACACGATGTATTTTCGTTAAATCTTTTGAAAATCTACAGCAGAAACCCCTGATTGTAATCTATCTAATCCAAATAATGATATGAAACAAATTCTATCTAATCCAAATAATGATATGAAACAAATCAATTTGAACGTTTTTATTCTTCATCTAATAACTCTTGCAGTACAGTGTTAAGCACTCACTATCAATACTCACTATTTATTCTCATATATTTTAAATACAATCTTTCACATCTCTTCTTCCCTTCATTATTATTATTTACACACACGCACATACAAACGAAGAAAAAAATGAACTAAGAAAGGAAAAAAAAAAGAATTGGAAAACGATGAAATACTGACAAATACAAATTGAAAATATTTCTCAATATTAAATTAGACAATCAATGTGACTAGGAAGGCTATAACATTATTAATATAAATTAAGTTAAATCACGGTATTTTGAAGCACATTACACCATTCACTTGCCAACTATAGAATTGAAAATCCTATAAATAAGACGTAAACAAATTTTAATATATAAATATATTCCTAATAAGAAGTATTTTCTACGGTGTAGCATGTTTAAAAAATAAATTTTAAATCACCATTTCTACAAATAACAGCTATATATAGCACATTTGATATTTTATGAAACTAAAATTTACAATATCACGGAGAATGGGATAGAACACACTCAAGAAGTCAAGTCAAAAGAGCATACAAGGCCACAAATTATGATATGTGCAGAAGTAGAAATTTATTCTTCCTCTCACAATTACTATCAAATTTTTAATATTGTACATGCATCATACGGTCTAAGAACTGCTATTGTCTTCTAAATTAATATTCTTCAGAATCAAATGGCAGTTGCGGCACTTTGCTTTCCGTAATTGACTCCCATTGTATACCATCGAAAAACGATTCTTTCTTTACAGCTTCAGCTCCACCGGATTCAATGGAACCCAAACGATCCCTCACTTCCACGACCAATAATTTCCTTATAATACTTCCCGCAATTTCCGGAATATCGTCCGGAATCTTATAAGTAGCACTCATAATTCGTCGATAAATCAGATATTCACATATATCATGGAATGCATGTTTACCGGTAAGCAGCTGATATATGATAACGCCTAAAGCCCAGTAATCACAAGCTTGTTGCACTGGTTCACCCTTTAGCACCTCCGGACTAACAAATTGTGCTGTACCAACAAAAGAGCTTCGCCGCTTCAGAGTCTCCGGTCTAACTGTCGTCTGCCTGTTTGGTTTTGCGCGATCAAGAATTTTAGCAGAACCAAAATCAGAAACAAGGATATGACCTGTCTCAGAGATTAGAATATTTTCCGGTTTTAGATCACGATGAATTATTTTCAGTGAATGCATATGCTCCAATGCTACCACAATTTCACTAGTATAAAATCGTGTCAAGTTCAAATCAAATTTTCCACCCGATTTCCGCATTAATTTCAATAAATCACCTTTTTTAGCCAACGTCATTACAATGTAAAGATTTTCAGTATCTTGAAATGTACACATAATTTGTGCCAAGAATGGATGCTTTTTACCATTGTTCGTTAATCGTATTAAAGCTTCCTTTTCCCGGAAAATATAATCGATTTTCTTTTCACGAATTATTTGCTTTTTGAAGCATACTTTTGCTGCTAATTCTCTTCCTGTACTTCTTTCCTTGACATGATATACCGTCGAAAATGATCCTTCACCCACTTCATTTAAAAATATAAAGTCTGATCGTGTCCTCATTTCTTTCAATTTCTCTTCACTTCCTGTTAACTGCTTCGAATCATTGATAGTATCAGAATGATATGCCATATCTTCAGCATTAATATTCTTGTCGTCCTGCAAATAGTGAAATTAGAGACGCTTCGGCATGAGAACTTACTAAAAATTGTTTACAATGATGAAAATGCCTCGGCGTCTCTAGGTTCACATTTGCAAAACAACTCTGATTACATACCTTCAAATTCATAAAAAAACAAACGAACCAAGAGACGCCCTCACTCACATTCACAAATCCACCATATAATTTTCATTACAATATTTCCTTGCTCAACAACGTAATTCATAAGTGTAGTGAGTGATGAAGTTCACATTTTGATAAGCTATCACGCACACCATATTTTAATAGCAAAGTTTAGATTAACTTATTCCTATCAGTAAAATGAGAAACAATAATCAGTATTAACAGAACACCAAAATATATTTAGTTCCGAGCTTGCGAACTTTTGCAACAATAAGGTGATTAGTACTGCTGCCACTTATATCATCGAAATTTTATTTCGCTTTTTACTATCTTTCCCTTCCACCTCATCTATTCTTTAATTTGTTTTTGCTTTCACTCTTTCCTCTTCATCTCTAGCACACTCTCTTTTCTCCCTCTCTCTCCGACTGGAGACGTCGTCCTCCCATTTTTCCCGCTATTTTCTCTACATTTTGCTTATTAATTTATTACTCGACAATGATATACTGCTTAGTATAACAACATTTCCACTATTATCACTCTCTCAAAAACCAGAAAACTCTCACCTTTTCATTTTCTCTCTTTGCTTCTTCATTTTTAAGTGAAAGCTGTCCTGAAAAAAACAAAACAAAAACAAAAGCAGTTTAAAAGAGCCCAGAGACTTTGTAATAACAATAACTAAACAGTTCGTGTGGTATTCGTATTTGATTATCAATAATATGTTTTATGTAAATAATTACTTCTGTCAACAAACGTTAAAATTTGGAAATTTCTAGTAAATAAAGGAATTCTTTGCATACAGGATGAATACTGTCTATAACACTAAATATTTTGCAAATAATGTTCTATGCAATGAGATACAGAATTTACTGCAAATTTTCGTTTTTTGTTCAACTTGAATATTTAGTACATGAGTATGTATATCTACTGGGTAATGTCAAACAAGAATCAATTGTATATCAAAAAGCTTCATCCAAGTCCGAAAAACGTTGTGTTGGATGTCCACAAAAATTACATGACCATAATCTAACTAATAGGCGAATTAAACAAAAATTTTGAGCTTAGTTTAAAAGGTGAATTTGGCCAAGAAAACTACAATAATGCTTTGTTAACTTGCGATTAAAAATATTGCAAACGAATATTTTGCTAATCCATAAATAAATACCTTTCTCCGAATTCAGCGCACTTATAACTGTTTCCTTTTCGCATACAATTTGTTCGTATTCTTTATCCTTTGTCGAAACTTTTTCTTCCAAATTTTGTATCGATTCCAGCAGTGGAGCACTAACTAAATAAAAAATTATCACTTTGAAATTTAAAATATTGTAGAACAAGCAATAAAATATTGATTTTGAAACAGATGCATGATAAATGACAAAATTTACCAGCAGCAATCATCTCGGCATTATTCTGATGTTCTTCCATCATTTCACTAAGTCTCTGAAAAATAATAAATATAGATATTATCAATATTACTCCAAGAAATTATAGGAACGATAAGAACATAAGAGAATATTCAGAACTATCTTGAAAAGAGTAAACTCTTTACCAACACAGTCCGTTCTCGTTCTCATTTCGTCATGTATCGTAGCACAGAACATTACGATAACATATTACTTAATAAGTTCGTGCTGTACAATAAGTATATAACAAAAATTACATCTGTAACAAAAAAATTATATCTGTATTAAGAAAAAAACCTTTTCCAGCGAATCTATGTAAGCTGATTGTCGTTCATTTTTCTTTTTCTCTTCTTCGAGATCTGCATTTAGTCCTACAATAAAGCTTCTAAACTTCAAAAATTTGGTATACCTGTCCCAAAACCTAATTTCCCTGATTCATCGTAATTTGATAAATGACAACCGATATTAACTAACTGGAATTATTTTCAGAAACTTCAAACAAGCTATAAAGCATGAGACATTACTAATTTACACTAAATGGATCAGTAAACTAATAAAATAATGGCTAAACAACCGATACTTCAATCCTCTTTTTGTAATTCTGACATGAGAATTTCTAGGACGAGCAATATCGCTACAATGTATTAAATTTTTACACAAATAATCACTGCAAAAAAAGTCTAACAAAAAAAGTAATAATCTACCTCGAGTGATTTCTTCGATACTCTTTGATGACATTTCTTTTTGTCTTACTTTAGTTGAAACTTCTTCAAAAGCATTTTCTAATCGCTGAAAGAAAAATGGAAAGATAACAACTTTAATTATTATACTTCTCAAATACTGAAGACTTTCTGCAAACAAATTACAAGACAATCTGAAATAAATCCTTTACATCTTCGCTATCAAAGCTCAACATCCAGAAAAAGATGTTGTTTAGTGAAAAAAATGTAATTTGAGAAATGTTGAATCTCATCTAATATTTTAAAAGTCATAGCGTACCAGCAACGACATTTATCAGTACCTAAGACCACGAATGTATTAAAAAAATGAAGCCTGAATAAAGCAGAAAATTTGAAACTTAATGATACCTTCAATTCTTCGTGAGCTAATTCCCGACTTGTTTCTGATTGCTGAAGATCTGCCAACAATTTATTAATTTTATCGTCCTTCCTCTTCAAATCAGTTGTTAGACCTTCATTCGCTACTTTTAATTCCGTTAAATCACATTCGAGAAATTTCACCGTAGCTGTAAAACATCCTCATTTATTTTATCAAATAAGCAAAGCAAAATAAATGAAACTTACCCCGTAATTTCGTAATCTCTGCTGCAAGACCTCGAGCTTCTTCCCTAGCCAAATCTCGATCAGTTTCAGCCTCGGTCCCTTTTTTTGCTAACTGCTCCTGTTCAGCGAGGCTAGCTCTAAGTCTCTTTAGCTCTTTCGTCAATTTTCCATTCGTTTCAGCTAATTTCTCACCTGCATTTCAGCTTATTAGAATCATGCCAAAACATAAAAAAATAAAGTTCACTATAACAGCAATCATTACTCCAGAAATCAAACTGCTCTCATCATTAATCAACAGAAAAATGACCTTCTCGCAAAAGATCCACTAATTTCGTTTCCTTCTCGTTCAGTTTCTTCAGAAGTTTTGCTTCGGTTGTGCTAAAAAAATATTTTCATCAATAAGAACTTTCAAAGTAATAGATTTTTTCAAAGAAAAATAAGAATTTCGAAAATACCTCTGCTGTGTTCGTATCGCTTTTAAGGCAAGTAGTTCTTTGGATTTTGCTTCTAGCTTTTGATTCTGGAATTGAAGATCACGAATTCGTCTTTCTTGATACTGAATTTGTGTTCTTAAATGAGCTGTTTCAGTATTGGTATGCTGTTTGCTGATTAAATTACTACTGTCTTCCACTTTTGCCTATAAAATCAAAAAAACCCATTAAATTTGCATTTTTAAAAGAAAAAAAAAATACTATTTGCAATCATATGACTTAAAGAGAAACCTGACTTAAAGTAGTTCCTTCTTATATCACCGTGCTAAAAGATATTTTTATAGGATACCATATAACATATTTTTATTACTCATAAGGTATCTATGGTGCAGGTTAGTGACAAAATTTATCATTTGGAATCACACAATGTTGAAAACTAAAGCTCAAAGACATTTAAATTACATCCATCTTTGTTAGCAAGAGTTAACACTAAGTATGTCAACCAGAAATGATTCGACAGAAGAGTAGATCGATAATTGATACTGTAAATTCCTTTCAAAAATCATCAAAAATATTATTTGCAGCCAGCAATTAACTATCAAATAATTTTGACATTCACTGACATTGCTATCAGTGTTTACAGAAAAATGCTCAAAAATGATTCGACAAAAGCACACATTAAATGGTTACCTGTTGATTAGCGTCCGTTGCTGATGCATCTGATAATGGAAGGGGAAGAATTTTAGGCGGTATACTGCTTGCCATCGAACTATAATTGCATTCTTTTTTTAAAAATTTTTCATCACACATGCTATAATTTGAATAATCCGACATTTTGATAGTTGACAATTTTGTGGAAAATAAAAACACGTACCACGAATCGCTTTGACGAAGTATCTCGAAATCGCTTGATATAAGTGTTAAAGTATCATCATGCTGCTTATCGTTCCTATGCGATGAACTCTCCGCAACAAAATTCTTACTATCCTCCTAAACACAGAGATGATCCACGAACCAAAATCAATCAAAGTCACTGTTCAACAATAAAAGAAAGATTTTCTCATGACAGTAATGTGTTGTTCTCAGGATTCACTTGATATGATGAACAAGGATGCAATAACAAGTTAGGTAAAAAGAACCGCGTATATAGTCGTGCCAATTTGACCAATCAATCATTCATTTCGATAGTTCAAATTATCTATTCTTGTTAGGCAAATGGCAATTTTAACTTGACCCTTTCTTTAAAAAACTTTTGGGATAAAATTATGCATGTAAAACATCCAGTAACAATGAAAACTTTAAGTTTAGTCACCTCTAAAGGCTCTGAACCCTTATGTTTTTGGATATCATTTGCACGTGAAATATCCTGCTCTTCTCCACTGCACACCAACTCTTCTTCCGGAGAATTCTGATAAAAAATTATAAAGAGTGATAACAAGTTTTGAAATTATATTCATCGATATATCCTCTAGTAAATACTAAAGATTCAGATGATATTATTCCTGTTAAAAGACCAATTAAAAAACAAAATTAAAGATTGACTTCGTTTAAATCTTGCAATTATCTAATTAATCACTATCTCGACTCATAGCTAATGTCAAAGCCCTCGAATAGCCTCATAATAAAATCCGAATGAAATGTTGAGGATATCTACTACCTCAAATATGTTTTTCTTTGAAATGTGAAATGAAAACCCCGAAACTTTGCAAAACACCACTCTTATAACTATTTCATACACTCTTACCGAACATGGTGAATGCGGTAATAGCCCAGCATGATGACTGTCACGAATAGGATTAGGTTCCGAATCGACTACTTCAACGCCCTAGAATAAAAAGTATGCTATTTTAATATCACAAATCCTATCTCTATAAACCTATAAAAATGGTATTAAACTGATTTGTTGAACTCACTCTGTTCATTTTGGAGAATTTATATATCTCCCAATATTGTTTCTATGCCTTTAATATAGCTGTTTTCAAATAATAAGCTCTTAAATTCATCCCAAATTCATGTCAAAAACAATGAAATTCACGACTTCGAACTTACAATACATTGTCAAATAATGATATATTGCGTTATATATACAAGTAAAATGAATTACTGAAGTTCCATCGTATGCGGAAGTGAACGAAGAATTTGTTTCATCCCAATCTTCATGTTCTGATTGTTTCTCATGTTCCAGAGTTTGATTTACAGAAGATATTATTATAGTACTTACGCTCTCATCGTTTTCTATCTAAACATTAGTTCCTTTAATTGACACTAATAAAATTATCAGAAGCAACTCTGCAAACCAGAAAAATCGAGTACTTAAGTATTATCAATGATACTTCAAAGTTGATATCCGATAAAAAAATCTCTGGTTGATGTTTACCGTAGTTAACTATCTGCTAAATTCTATAGTACCATTTCTTAATTCCGAGGTCACTGAATCGTTATTTGTCTTTTTCTACACCATATTTTCAGATGGCACTAACGAAAAAACTCATAGCATATTTTAAACACTAAATATTTAAGCTACCGATAGGTATCAAAATTTATAAATCAGTCTGAATAAGTGATTTCCATATAACAAACTGTGGTCTCAGATTTATTTAGATTTTCCTCACCAAAATTTGACTTCAGTTTCTTAAACAGATAGTTATCTCAATAAAAAAATAATTAAAAGAAATATAATACCAATACTTGCTTCAATTCATAAAATCAATCAACTGTATAATAAAATTAGTACGATTTTTTTATACTATTTTTTTTCAATACCAATCTGACTACTTCAGCTATCAATTAGCTGAAGTAGTCAGATTGGTATTAAAAAAAATAGGATGGTCACAATTTTTTTCTCGTGTATGTGTATATAATGGAAACAAGTAGACAAACAAATAAATAAATTGATTAATTAATATATATATACATAAATCCAAAAAAAAAAACTAACCTCATCATCCGGTGCAATATCAAGTACGGAATCGATACGTTTCTGCGCCGTTTTCAGGGCATTCTTTGCTAATTCATTAGCCCAGTTAAAATTCATTATCCATCAGATTTGAATTTATCTCCGTTTCAATTTCTATTACATCAAGGAGAAAACTACTGAATAGATATTAGGTTCTGTAAAAATAAAAATAATTGAACAACACCATTTCAACCATTACCAAACTTAAATCCATAAGCTTCCGGAGATATGTTGAAGGATACAATTCCGAATCCTTTTTTTTAAGGACATACACATATATAACGTATTTTAAATTCAGAAATATGAACAAAAATATAATCCAGAATTTCGTTTTATATATAAATCACACATTTCAAACTTACAAATGTAATCCTAAATTTAATCCAAAATTGAGTCTTACGTATAAATTAAGCAGTTTGCACTCAGGGATTCACAAATTTAAATTAACAATTTCGTTTTATATACAAATTAAATGTTTCAAATTCAAAAATATGATCATAAATTTAATTTGAAATTCCATTTTTCGAAAGCATACATACGAATAAAGCATTTTAGAAACAGAATTATGAGCTAAAAATCTTACCCGGAATTTCGTCTCTTTTTGACTTCATTTTAAAATATTCCACACCGCAATACATGCTATAATAATACTACTCAACTAGCCAATCTAACCTTTAATCCTATCAATTAAATATTTACTAACCTCTATAGTCAGGTAAACAATTTCAGACAGAAAAAACAACAAAACACGTTCACCTAAAAGAATTCGTCTCGAAAGTGCCAATTTAGTTCTTACAGCTCTCTCTCTCTCTCTCTCTCTTTCTCTCTGTCTCCCTCCTCTCTCTATCTTTCTTCTTTTCCCTCTCGCCCTATATTTGTAAACTTTCTCATTGATGAAATTGTTTGTTTAATTGCTTAGCAAAATTTAAAGAAAAGAATTCAAATATATTTTCGCAAAATGGTTATTTAAACTTTTATTCTCTGTATCACTTTCTCTTCTGCACGAACATGTGCTTCCGTGGCGCAATCGGTTAGCGCGTTCGGCTGTTAACCGAAAGGTTGGTGGTTCAAGCCCACCCGGGAGCGTCGGGTTATCAGTTTTTTTCTTTGATGTGATTATCAATTCAATGAATTGAATAAAATATCCGAGGCTGATAATTAAATTTTAATAATGGCTGCTAAAAATTAATCATTCCACTTGTCTGAATTTATGTCAGGTAGAAATTAGATTTGATATCAAGAAGAATAGGATTAAAGTACATTGGTTAACCTTTACTCAAATTTAACATCACTTTGAGAATTTTTAATTAATGATATTTCATTATTAAAATATAATAACTTTATTGTAATGTAAATTATGAAATAATATTTCATTGCTTCTTCTTAACATACTACAAAACTTCTTACATCATGATTTTTTTTGAACCAAAACTTATACCTTTTTTTCGTCCAATAATTTTTAACTTTAATAATATTGATTGAAATTTGAAGCATATCATTGAAAAGAATATCCAAACCTATTCTTTATTAATGATCTATCTTTCACGTGAAAGCTTATATAAAGAGTCGATTTTCTTTTTCGTTTTTCAATTCACTATTCCTTTAAAATGAAGAACAATTGTTAATTTAATATGAAATTGCATCCGAAATATTCGAAAACTGCATTAATCTTAAAAACATCAAATGTTCTAAAAGTGCTACATTAGGAAGTATAATATCATATAGCAAAAAAAAAGAAAAGAGTAATTAGGAATAGTTATTAAAATTTGAAAATTTGAAACAAAAAGGTAAAGAAATTAAATTTTTCTGATAATGAATAAACACGTTGATAATTATAGGAACAAAAGAAGGACTATTTCAAATCATTTGTCATCAGATTTTTTTATTACTTTTAGATATGCATTTTTTCTTTTTTCATACATTTCATTTATTCATTGTTCGCACAATCATGGTGTGAATGATTATGCATTCGTTAGTTAATTTCGTTTATTTTCATAGTTTTTTTTTTTTTTCATATGTCAGGAAAATAATGAAACTATGGAAATGTGCAATAAACAGAATGAAGAAAGATATTTCGATAACTTTTGTTTAGAATTTTTATAAAAAAAAAAAATTGCAACATATTTCTCGGAAATAAGGATTAGTTGCTTGATAGAAATTAAAATTTGAATGTAAACTAATAGTTTCTGTAACAAACTTCTTCAAATAATACAGATATTCTCCCTTTCAATTATTTTAATTTTACATTATTTCATACATAGATATTCGATGCAAACATCTATTAAGGAGTAGAATTTGAAAATTTTTAATGCTATTTGTAAAATTGTGAAATTGTTGCTAAAATATCGGAAACTATTGTCAAAAAATAACATAAGAGTATGGTAAATCAATAAGAACTTATGATATTATCGACGTATCGATTTGTCGTAAAAGGAAAACCGGCACAATTTTAAGTCATTATTTGGCGATTCATCACATTGAATTATCAAAGCATTGAGATGATCTTCATCAATAAAACTTTATTTCAAGCACTAAAATATCATAGGCTTCAAATATTGAACATTCAGCATGAAGAATTTTCTCTCAAAACTAACGCTTGAGATTAATTTAGAAATTTCACTTATAATACAAGTTTTTTTTTACAGGCATTAAACGATAGACAGCTCAAAATCACATAAAATAGAAATTCAATAAACTAAACGGAAAATAATAATAATAAAAAAAAGTTGAAGGTGCCAAAATAAACAAAAACAAAGTTAACAAAAATTAAACTGTATCCATCGTTATATTCTTAGATGTTATTTTTAATAATGTTGTTATGTTAATACTCACTGAACATAGTTTTTTTAGATGTCATTTTTGTACATGCTCTACAACTTCATCAATCTCGAAATTCAAAAATATGAATTTAAATCCGGCAGATGTGAAATGTAACCGAAAAATTTATATTATTGATCATTTGTCAATGGAAGCAATTCATGAAAGAGTTGATTATGCAATTTTGAAAGATACGTGGCAGCAGCATCGGTATCCGTTTTTGTTAAAATTGGCAACATGGAACGTAACTTGCATGCATATCGAATGATAGCACGACGTTGTCGTGTTTCATTATCCATTTCAAGCATCTGATTACGTTGTGAACGTAAAGACATGGCTAACGCGTATGCCTCATCCAGTACTTCTCTTGGAAAAGTTGTCAGATCAGCCAAATTGAATGCTAAAGAAGTATATGGTAACGTTTTAGCGCACTACTTTTATCTAAATCACATTTCAATCAATAGTTAAATAAGCGTAAGTGCAGGAAGTCTTATCAATGAAAAATGTCACAGAAATTAAGTTTCATTCAGAGCTTGTGCTTTAAAACGGAAAATAAATCAAATTATAATATTGAATAAATGCTGTCGCAGAGTTCGTCAGCACATACCAAACGTGCAACTCTATTGCTGAAAAAGAATAAAAAGTGCAAATACTACTTTGAAATAAGGTAAAATCAAAAAAGAGAATTGCTATATGTGATCCATGTACATACCATAAAGTGGACCAGTATATGGACCAGTATAAAGCTGATGTGAACACTGTAATTTTTCTACTTCGCTACCATCATTCTGTTTGATTTTCACTGTTGTAGTTGAGAAATGGAAGCTAAAAATAAAATCTGTTAAAGGCTACGATTAGCTGACTAAACCGATCACCTAACATAATCACAATATGAAAGACTTATAATAAATTGCTTTGATGAATTGAAAAATAAAAAATCATTACCTACTTACATTTGAAGGGATATTGGCAAGCTAACACTGTTATTTTTGAATTTTTACGCCAAGTGACACGAATTCATTTGCAAATACAGCATGATGAATAGCAAAATCAATCAAACTTTGAGTATAAAGATCTTAGTATTGTTATTGTTTTAAAAGCATTCTATGTTTGATATAGCCATATCAGATTATCGATCTTTGTCTTTGTAGTTATAAAAAAGATCAAATGGGATACAAAGAAAATTAAAGGGTAAATTATAACTTTTCAACACTAGGATATATTGTTGACAGCGATGCCAGATCGAGATAATGGGTGGCGAATATTACATATGCCTGCAACTTGGATTTTCTGAAAAAATCTTCTAATATAAATTAGACTGTAAAAACAGAATTGCTCTACGGGAAGTAGTATTTGGATGCAATCGAAACATGATTAGTAATTGTAAGCATATATTATGAAATCGCATCAGTTGCTTCTACCATTTGTTTGAATTGATCGGATGGTTGGATTATCGGCAATATAAAAACTTTGCATCTTATGGAAATTTATTTAAATTGAAAAAATTTTGAACAACTGAGGATTAACCTTCTTTCGCAAAAGCTCTTCACATATTGCAAAACATATGCTCAAACCTTCATCATATGCTGTGCCTAAAAAACTCTGAATAATTGAATGTTAGCTTCAATTTGAAACGAAAAGCAAAAGATTATCTTATTACTGTATTCAAGGAATAAACGACTATTTCATTGTTGTACTCAATAAACAAAGGATTGCCTTATTATTATTTTACCTATTATTTTGAAGAACAATTAGCACCGTCAAGAAAAACTCGATTCAAACACTTACTACAGGCAAGCTCATCGATAAGAACTAGTGATGAAGAGTCGGCAGTGCGTAAAATGGGTGCCATTTCCGACATCTTGAAAAAAAAAACCATGCAAAATTCATCATGTTGTTTTTTTTAACATCAGTTTTTTTTCCTTATTTTAAATACAAATAAAACATGGAATAATCAGATGTAGTTAGGAGTAATCACATGTAGCCAGGATCTCAAATGAAAATTTTTCTCTATCCTCAATCATTTACCTCGACAGCGAAAGCCGATAAATTAGCCGTCAAGTCATCATTATGCCCAATTCGTGAGAAGATTCGAGTGAGAACTGGAAATACAGCCATTTCTGCTGGTACGAAACTCCCTGTTTGGGCTAACACATGCAGCAAGCAAATTTGCTTCAAATATGTTGATTTTCCAGCCTAGAAAGTATAAATATAAAATTATTATAACATAATCCCAGTTTATTTAAACATTTGAAGCATTATTTTTCATTAGTGCCAATATCCCATTAATGCATGTATATTTATAAAGCATTCAGTAATCGACATTACTATCACGAAATATCAACATTTTTAAGAAATAACTTACCATATTTGGTCCCGTAATAATATTGATTCGTGATTCGGATGATAAATACTAAAAAGAAATTCAAATTATAAATACTAAATTTCAAAAATTATTTAAAATCGAATGATTAAGATTTTCAATTTTTAAGAATTCGCTACAATTTTAAAGCATACTGATTCGAAATAAAAAACTCAAGATACAGAAAATATGCCTTAATTTTTGGTTTTCGAACTATTAATTTGATTAATTCAACCCAGCAACCTCAACTGTCAGTTTGTCGGTTATGTATATCTTCGTTACAGGTTTTTGATAAGAAAACATACCGCATCATTTGGAGTGAAATTCTCGTTTGCTATATCCAAAAGTGGATGTCTTCCTTGTTTGATAATCATCGACATTGAAGGAGAAAATGAAGGTCGAACTATGAGGAAAAAAGAACAAAAATTCAGATTTCATTGATCAAACCAATTTTATACTTAAAAACTTACATTAAAAAATGGAATTTTTTGACTAGGAAGAATTACCTGATGGAATTTTCATAGCATATGCAGCAAGACAGGAAATGAAATCTACCATAGATATTGCTTCAATTGCATGATATAAACATGGAATCATCGAACGGATCTAAAATATCAATAATGTATTTCATTTTTTTCCCCCTCACTTCGTTTCAAGTATACATTCGTGATGAAAATTTCTAGCATATTTTTGATTGAAAAGCAACGAAACAGCACACAGAATTCTGTATTTTATGATAAGTGACAGCAAGAACCATTAAATTCCATAGCTGAAGTTCAATGGACGAATATTGTATTACTGCACAAAAACCGTAGGTATGCATTCTTGATCGCAGTTTATTAAAAAGATATGATATTTTCAAGAAAGGATAAATTTCGCACCATTAGTATTTAAACATCATAAATCGCACAGAGTTGGAAGAGATACCTGATTCAATAATTCGACAGCTATCACATTGCTCCTAATTGTTATTTCGTTAACTATTTCATCGATTCTTTCTGCAAATTATTTGAATAATTGTTTGAAATTTCAGTATTCCAGTTCATAAATAACCCATGTTGGGAATGACCTTAGCGGTATTACGTACAGATACATGAGCACATCATTTAGGTTACATCAGTTAGGAACGTTATAGGACGCAGTGCCAAAAATTAGTGTTAATAAGCAAAACCGTTCAATTTCGTAATTATCGACGCCTGAGATTAATTATCGATGTGAAGTCGACAAAATACAAAACTAAACCGAATTCTTTATTAACAATAATTTTTTTCTTTTTGTTTGTAATTTCAAATCAGTATAAAGAGTGACTTCTATGAATTTATAAAAAGATATCTTGCAAAAAGATTAACCATTGTAGCGTAACAGTGCACGAGTTGTGCAAGAAACAGAAGCCCGATTTCTGACCATATCAATAAAATGTGATGGTAATTTAATTTCAGCCACAGGATCCGAACATGGAATAGAAAAATGGAAGCCACGGCTTGCAGTGTAGATAAGTTTCGCTTCTGATATCTCATTTGCCTCTTCATTACTTTTTTCTGCAAACTTTGCGAGACATACAAAATATACTTTTCTGCAAACCTCTTTGCAAGATGAGATATGCAAGACTTGCAAGAAATATTAGATAATACAACCTTCGCTTAATTAATAATACTTGTAAGTTGAAATCAATAGAGAGTTGAAATTTTCGAATTTTTTCTTCAGCTTTTGATTATAAAATATACCAAAAATCATTCCATAATTTTTAATCAAGCCCGTCAGAAAACAATATCATATATAATTGGTCACTAACACGATTATCACTGATTTGCACCATATTTTACATATAGCAAGCCTAGGGCAACATTAAAATTTTAAATATCTTAATGACTGTCATTTACTACAACTATCTTCAAGTGCAAAAATTCAATTATGTATGACATCAATCTACGTCAAGTTTTAATCTATAACTTCTTTGAAATTTTGAAAATTCTAGTCATTATGAAAATTTTTAAAAGTACAATGATTTTCACTTTCTATTATACAAGAATACCATAGATGTCACGTAACAGCTCCTCGTATGCTTTTCGCATTATAATAATCATTTGATCAGTTCCGTCCTAGAAAATTTATTAAAAAATTTATAAAAGCAGTTTTTCTGAGGAAATTTAAGAGAGATATATTATGGAAATAAATGAATATAATAAGAAAATAATAAGGAAAAAAAATTACCCGAACTGCATAGCAACGTTTTTGTCGCAGTGCTAAAGCGGATCGTTCGCCTATCTTACATGTTCTGTTTAATTTTCCATCCAAAATATCCATAATACTTTCGAATCGTTCATCGTTCAAGTGCTTTAAGACATTTTGTAATAAAAAAAAATTTTAAAGAAAAAAATTTAACCACAGCAAATTTTCCTGTTTAGAAAAAAATGATTAGAAACATATAAGTTGTGTACATCTCTCATACTAGAATGTTCCTTATTCCGTTTTATAGTATCTCTGTAACCATAATAATTGGTCCTCTAAAATATTTTATTCAATATAAAATAATCTTTTTTTATTCGTTGGCAAATTAGAAACCAATTAAATTACTTTGATTCTCTAATAAAGGAAGATATTCATTTTGTTGTGTGTTTTATGTGTAAATATTTTGGTATGGGCAAAGTAAATGCAATTCATCATTAGGCCTTGTAAAGAAAATCAAACAGTGTTATTAACAACCATCTAATGGAGACAGCTGAATGTCAGATGAGGTCAACAACACACATTCTATAAGTTATGCTTCCAAAATTAGTCGAAAATTATTGAATTTTAAATATCCAACATTAACGTTATGAGTGAGCAAATGTATGTTTGAAAAAAAATGAAGACATACATTGTAGCACAATCGGAATAAATGAGCTTCGCTGTTTTTTAAAGAATCTCGTAATGGTTTAATCAAATGTAATGTTTGCTGCAAATTCAGGATCTGAAAGATCAAATGAGTATAATTTAATAGATCGATGTTAAATAATCTTGCGAAATATTAATTCGTAACAGAATAACATTTTTCATAATTCTATTTGAATTTTAAAATCAAACATAATTTAAAAACGACAAAAAGTTTTAGAATTATTAGAAAACCAGAATCTTCCAATGAATTTTTGTTAATTTTTGATCAATTTTCCCCAATCATATTCATTAGATTTAAAAATTTGAACTAGCAATTATGATTTGATACAAACATAAAGCGAACTTGAGTGATACGATGCTCAGCCATACGAACAGTTTCCTTTTGATTTTCCAGGTAACAGCAAACCGTTATTAATCGATATATGTCACTTACACCAGCAATAACTGCTCGAAGTCGATCAAATTTCTAAAAATGAAAAGATAAATAATTTTAAATTATTTGTTGCTTTCATAGATTATATAAGTGCTAATTTTCCAACAAATTTACAAAATACCGGTTGATTACTAATGAGCTCCTCAACAGCATCCAAACGTGCTTCAATCATTGACAGATCAACGGAAGGTTGTAGCAAGCTACTACGAAGCAATCGTACTCCACCACTAGTCAAACATGTATTTAATGCCGAGAAAAGACTACGACCTAATGTTTTTTGCTTAAGATGTATTCGTTCCACCACCTCGACATTTCGCATGGTATTTACATCTGCAATCATAACATTCATTAAATAAACACAACAATTTAAGTCATCTTAATAACCCATTTTAACAAATGAATGAAATGCAACTTTGTTGTATATCAGATTATAATTATTTACCAATCAGCTATCAGAAGACATATATATTAAAATCATTTGTAGCAAAATGTGCAAAATTATATAACAATGGAAGATAAACTATTTTTGTACAGTCGATTTCATTTGTCATAAGAGAGCAGAAAGAGCTGGATTACATTTACTAATAAAATACGCAACTTTATATAACTCATTTAACAGTATTAAGTAACTTATTACCTATAAAGCAAGATTTCTCTGCAATAAGATAAGTAACTTTCAGCGAATTTTGAGCAAACAATACATTCTGTATGTATTCCACATATTTGATTAATGCAGCGGCAGCTGCCATACAATAATACCTATAATTTTAAAGAAATATAAAATATTATACAAAACCTAGTAAATCCATTTCAGCACAAAGTGATAAACATTTGCATATGCGCTGATCTTCAAGAAATAATACATAATGATAGTGGAATAGATACGAGATGATAAGTTTAAGATAAAAGCTCCTTTTATGCAATTGAGTTCGTAATGATACGCTCGAAATTCAAATCCATCTTTAAAAAATCATGTAAGTGCTATTAAATTAAGGTTTTCAGTATTTGTGATATAACAGAAATGAAGTTTCAAGATTGAAACAGGAATGATAAAACATATTAGATGACGATAAATCAGTAAACACTGTAATTTTGAATTTCTATGTTTTCGAAAATTTGTCGCAAAACTTTATCCATGTTTTAAAATTTGTAAAAAAAGACAAACTTTTCATATACTTCTGATGTTATGTTGGAGGATTCGCTAGAACTTAATTGTTTTAGCAATTCAATTCCCTTAAGATCACTGAAAATGATGATGGTAAATTGTATCAATGCACCGTTAATATATTTCAGATGATTTAATCTCATTTTATATTAACAATGTTTTGTAATATGGTTTTCGATAGTGAAAAAACTCATAAAAGCTAATAATAGTTTCTCCAGATAATATTTCCGTCACCATATTACGATTTATTTAAAAGGCAATATTTCTCTACAAACAAATGAAAAGAATTAAATACTTGAAATAGCGTCTATTAATCATTGTGATTTCTACTTCTGGATAAGTGCTACGAATCAATTCCAATACAGCATTCATACTGTTACTCTTATCCATAAACATTTCTGGAACAATAACCTGCAAAAACGACTACCTACTGAATATAATGAATACGAAGACAGCATAATATAAAACAACAGATAAGTATCTTAATTTCAAAATGCTTGTTTACTTTGTCCTTAAATTATAACCTAAACATCATTCACACTCTGATGTCATGTAATAAAGAATGGAAAGTTTATGTTATTTTGAAAGTAATGGTTTATTGAGAAAATGAGAAATAATTGCATCCAAAACCTCAACAGGTTCTTGAATTTGAAATTGAATTCGAAGTCGTGCATAAGATGCAGAATCGATAAATTGCCATAAATGCAATTCACTACATAATGCATCAATGCTTGCAAGTCCAATCTCACCACGTGCACTACCTCGACCTTCTACAACTGCTGAAAGTATACATTAATATGATATGCATCAATATAATGATAACTGATATAATGGTTTGTTTCTGTCATACTTTTCCACTATTAATCTTTTCCTTTCACTTTTATTATATTTTTTCCAATTTTTTTTAACTACAATAGTTAAATTTTAAAAAATGGTAATGCAAACTGCTTTACATGACTTTTTTTTTGAAGTTACAACAATTATATATCCTATCAAACTATTAGTATGATTGTTTCTTATTTGCAAGTTATGTTTTACGCTAAAGACATATTTAGTTAGTAATCATATTATAAATGCAATTATGCTACCAAGGTAAGATGTGTCTGGAAAAACAAATATCATTCGCAATTCGAATAGTTTCTTAATAATTACTATAACTGGCTTAGGAAACGTAGATCAAATTTGTGTGATTCACAAATATGTACGTGATTTGTGATATGCATAAATATGTCACGCATACGTATGCTCACATCCAAATTTTGCATAAATATTTTTAAATTAAAAATGAAGTGAATAGAAAATTGTTACGTGAACTTACAAAAAATGACGCAACTCGCAAGAGATAACTTCGTTGCATTTCCAGAAACTCGAGAGCGTTCACGCGTAGACGTAAAGCTACGATATTTCGGTGCACTGGATGATGACGTATCACGTTGCATGTAGCACTCACTGTTCCCTTATATAACATAAATAAATGTGACAAGTTAATATGTATGCACATGCATAAAAAGCACAAAAATGGAATGTCAAATAATATCAAAATTAAAATTGCAAGAATGCATAATTTGCCGATATACAAATAAATAACCGTTTTCTGCAATGTTTGAGGTAATTGTCAGGTAAAACTCTTAATGCTTGATAAAAATAAAAATAATAAACAATTTCTACATAAATCTAAATACATACAAGAAATTTCTATTTAATTGTGATTAGGAGATAAAATAATCACGCGTATATGTTTGAGAGAAAAGGAAACGTTAAAGAGAACACAAAAAATGATATCGTATTTAAAAGTTGCGATGCATTCGATTCAATGTTATTTAATTTTGGATAGCGAACTAAATGTGTTTATTATCACGATGGGAAGACTGATAAGGTCTCTTTATCATAGTGGGAAGACTGATATGGTAATAATACCAAATGAGGAGACTGATAAGGTCTTTATTATTACAGTGGGAAGACTAATAAGATCTTTATTGTCGCAATGAGAAAACTGATAAGGCCCTTATCATCACAGTGAGAAGACTGATAAAGTTCTTATTATCACAATGGGAAGACTGTTAAGGTACTCATTATCACAGAACTGATAAGATTTGAGTTGAAAAAAACTGTCACATATGAAAGATAATCAAAGCTTACCAAAAAATCACGCACAGAAGCACTAATCCTATGCGTCTAATTTTAATAATTGAGTTTAAGTGCTCACTGAAATGGACTTTCTCATTTTCTTCTAATATAAACCATTTTAATAGTTATCAAAGATTCCAATAGTTATTCTAATAGTTTAATAGTTAAATTGTTATTATAGAAATTTTTCTCACTAAATGATACAATACGAGTTCACTTATTGTGCATTTTTTCCTCTCCAAATGATAATATCATAATGACCGATAATACCATAATGATAGTGATACTGATATCATTTATAACTGCCTATACGGTTAAGCATAAATTCGTATCTAACAACTACCAATCATTAGTACAGAATTTAGATTTAAAAAATTTAAACAAATAAGTTCTAAGCAATCAATTGTACAAAAGCTCGAAATAATCAATCGTGCAAAATTTTGCTAATAAGTTTAAAGCAACTAAGAGTATGGCTGATAAGTTTATGGTAATTAATAGTGTAAAATTTCGCAGGCACAAATTTAAAGCAATTAGTATGAAATTTCGCTAACAAACACAAGTAAAAACTAACCTATGCTTGCAACTAGCGGTCAATCAGAAATTTTTCCTAGGCATATGAATCAAAAATAAAAACCTTGCAAGTCTCAATAAATTTTATTCAAACTTTTTGATTCAAACTTTCCTATGAAAAATATATAAGCACTTATTTGCATTGCTATCTTTCAGCTTCCTTTTTTAATACATCGTTAGTAATATCAAATAAAAAAACTCCAATAGCAATTTGATGAAAATCGAATGCGTCGCCTATAAACCAATCAAAATTACAATAAAATTTCGCCTTAAAAAAAATTTTAAATTTAAGGGTTTCATAGTACAAAAATATTTCAAGAAGAGATATATCAATTTTTTCATTTTATTCAAATTTTGTACTATACTTCTATCAATTTACATGAAATAATGCCAAGATTTACTCGTCATCTATCCTGCATAGTAACTAAGAAATTCCTAGAAACCAAATAGATCAAAATACTGCAAAAGATTTCGAAGATATAAAATCTCTGAATCTTGAGCACCGCAGGATAAACGCTATACAATTGTACATTAGAAATATGATTTGTAGGATTTGTTAGCAGAGCATCATAATTGTTCTCGAATGAAAAAACTTGTCTAAAAATTGGACATATTTTCATGCCCACTTATGGTCTTTCTTTTCTTCATTATCTTATATTCGAGTATTTTATCTTCTATCGATTTACATGAGTACGTTTAAGTAATATATGTAACAATACTTGCAATATTTCTGCATGAAATGTTTAATCGAGAAATTCACATATTTCAAATAAACTCGGATAGTTTTTCAAGTACTTTATGTCTCGGATAGTTTTTCAAGTACTTTATGTCCGTAATATCAAGAGTTCTTTATGTGCCCTACATGAGAATACTAAATTATTATGTCTTTAACATTGATAATGTTGTCCCTTTGAATAACCATATCAGTTTTTCAGGTAATATTTAAGGTAAAATAAATTATGTAACATAATATGATGTCATTTCTCTTTAATTAATAGAGGTAATTCATGTTAAATAAGTAAAACAACTCATTTTGAACTTATTTCACAGAGTTCCACTTCATACCTGTACAAATCAATACGAAAGTCTCAAAATTTATTGAGGTAGCCAACAAAAAACAATAATGCATAAGCTTCAATGATTAAAGTTTTGATTTGAATTATGTGCAAAAATTGTAAAATTGCAGGATGGCAAAAAAAAAAAAAAACTTTCAAAGTATCATAATGCAAACCTCAAACACAGATAAGCTACAAATATACAAAGAGATAATCCATTCATTTCCTATACGAAAAATAAAGGCATACTCTTACTCGGTTTTACGTGAAAGTCAAATGACTCCGAACATGAACCAAACACTACATTGAAAAAGTTTTTTGAATTTATATTCTACCCTTAGAACAAAATGCGAATTCAAAAAACTGTCTTCAATATTAGATTTATATACTTAACTAATTGGCGGCATCACATAAAGGAATTGGAATAACTTGAATGAACCGCAATATTTTAACCATTAATAACGAGGTTGCATTTGAGGCCATTGCTGTTGCTGTATTATATAGGGACTTTGCTGCGGCATCATTTCCTGACCTGGTTGCATTATTATTCCACCTAAATTTTTTTTTGCAGATGAAATTTACAGAAATTTAGAAAATTTTAGATGAAATTTAAGAAAAAATCTTGAAAATTAGATTAAATTAAACAATGACAGTAAATTTTCTTCAGGAAAATTAAGAAACACCAGGTTTCAAAGATTTGTCGAATTCCAATATTAATCGGTTTAGCGTGATAAGTCACATGAAGCAGTTCCTTTTTCAAGCGAACTATGATAGTATAGAGATTTTTTTTTTGGGTCTCATAACTAAACCAGAATCTTATCTAGCAAATTTCATGCTGTAGTGAATCAATCCAAAACACGATTTTTTTTTCAAATTAATAAATTATGCAAAAAGAACGCTACTGACCGCCTTGTATTACTCGTCCGTTCTGATCCACATATGACATCTGCGGACGCATCTGTTGCATGATTGTGGGTCCTTGAGGACCCATTTGTCCCTGAGGTGGCCCCATTTGATTTTGAGGACCGCCCATAGGTCCTGGTCCTGTTATAGTCCCTTGCTGTCTTAACATACTATTTCCATTGCCCATCATTTGCTGACCGCTTATCATACCTTCATTAATAAGGATCAATTATTAAGAATGACGAAAGTATTAGTTTTGATAGCTGACATATTCCTTTTGGCTTCAATTTATATATTCTGAACAAGTAATTAAACATAAGAGTACAATTGAAAATATGCACTCAACAAAGCACGAATCAAAAACATAATATTTTGACTTATAAGGAAATCTTAGCACTAAATATGCTTCAATATTTAAAATTCAAACCTGGTTGTACCATCTGTTGTTGATAAGAAGACTGCATAACTGATGACTGCGTAGACATTTGTACTGATCGCTGTGCCATTTGTCCTTGCGATGGACCGCCTAACTGTTGATTCATGCCTATCTGCTGCTGCTGAAAATTCATTTTGAAAAGTATTATACAATCAGTGCCAGTTGTATGAATCGTTTAGAAAAATAAATCGAATTATCACAAAAAAAATGAAACAATAGAGAAATCAAATAAAGAAAGCTAGTAAGTGGTAATCTGATTAGGCTAAGCTTAAGATTAGAACAAAGATCTTAATATTGATAACACAGAATTTCAACTACAAGTTCAAACTATAATTTATTATACAAACTGAGATACATTGTAGATAACGTTTATATTATTAATAACAAAAAGAACTTTTACTTTGAAATCAGAAAATTTCAAATAAGAAATTTGCATTTGAAAAGTTTACCCTCAAAATGGATGCATTCTTTTTTGCATGACTAGGAAAGTCGAGAAGAAAATTTACTTGGTACATGTTTGGACCCTGGTTCATAACTTGATGCTGTTGCTGATGTCCATATGGCAACTGCTGCATACCATTACTTATATGTTGTGATTGCATTATTTGCTGTTGATTGTGTTGTTCAAAGGTCATTCCTCCTTTATTGCTGATTACTGGTCCAGAACCAACCGGTGGGTAATCTTGCGCACCAGTTGTAGCAAATATTCCACTTGTAGGACCATTCATTAATGGCTCCATCTGAAAATGTTTGTCTTTTCCAAGTTTATAATTATTCTCCATTCTAAGACTTAATTTTTAAAAGCTAACAGATAAAAATTCGATCCTGATTCGTAAATCAAAATAGCAAGAACTAAGAACCTGCTGTGTAGCTGGCATTTGGGGTCCTTGTTGCATGCGCATTTTCTTTGCTGCAGGTTCCATCACTGATTGCTGAGGGTGCATGCCAATGGGCTGCAAAATGATACCAAATATCTAAATATTTGCTAACCATCATAGAAGAAGTCATTAAAAATATGAAAATTCTGATATTCCTTCTTATCCTCCTTTATTTTAATTTCAAAATTTCGAAAAGTTTTTTGTCTTTCATAAGCAACTTTGCAAAAAGTATTTGACAAAATAGTAATTCAATAATTTAAGGCTCAAATTGCATATATCTCTCAATAATAGATGTTACTGAAGCGAATGATGAAATTACCTACATAGATATCATTTTTAGTTGGAACCTTCCTATTAAACTTTTAATAATTTCAGCCTCTGTATGCAAATAAATGCATAAATGCTGAGTTTACAAAATGACGCATGTATGATTCGCTAGAAGCAGATTGTTGATGGCATCGATAACCGATGTAAAAGCGATAATAATATCATCCTTTTAACAGGTTCTCTTTAACCGTTTAAAAATTTCCACAAGTAAACAAGAAAAAAAAACAGAGAACAGGCAACTAACTTGCTGCTGACTTTGTTGCGGAGGTTGAACTTGTTGTGGTTTCGATGCCGAAGCGCTCTTATCATCATTTTCATCAGAAAGAAACTCTCGCTTTGGATATGGAATATCGCAACCGCTGAAAACATCTGCAGTCGGACGAGGATCTTCCTAAAAAGATATATAGATTGTATATATTCACGATTTAAAAAGAAAGTTTATTTAGGTTTTAATTTTTAACAGCTACATTTAAAATTATAAAAAAAGTGAAGTTTGATAACAGCCACCTTGAAGTAAGGATCATCCATGGCATCTTGAGCAGTAACTCGCTTAATTGGATCCATTGTTAAGAGGCGTTGTAATAAAGAAAATGATCGAGTGTCAGCTTTAATTTTATGTTTATCCATATATCTTTGCAAAGTGCAATTGGCATAACTGAAATTCATAAACTTTAATTATTCAACTGAAATTGCCTCAATAACGTAAAGCAGTGTGTCCCAATGAAATTCCAAATGTTCTCTTACTTCGCTCTTTTGAAATCCTGCGTCAATTTTTGATATTCTGGCATTTTTTTCAAATCTTGCCAGTCGGATTCGGATGGATAACCCATAACGGTAAATATTCGATTTAACTGATCTTGATGGTAAGGACTGGAAGCTTTAATATCTTCCTCCCGACAAAAAAATACGGGTTCGGAAGTAAGAAGTTCCGCAAAAATACAACCGATAGCCCAAATGTCGATGGCCTACAAATAATTTGATTCATACTATCTTCATATAAGAATATTCATTTTAGTATATAGTAAAAAGCTTAAAGAAATCTTGAAGAAAATGTTATACAAAACGTTTTGTCGATAACAGAAATACAAAAGATTGCATCAAATCAAAGAAAAATGAGAAAAGTCTTATTCTGAATAAAGCTCAGAAATAGACAATTTATGTGCTGAATAATTTTTCTTTGACAAATAAGATATATACTTTTGTATAATGTTTAGCACCAAGCAGAAGTTCCGGTGCTCTGTACCAGAATGTTACTACCACAGGATCAAGCTCGGCTAGTGGTTTCAATGGATTATGAAATATTCTTGCAAAACCCATATCACCAATTTTCACTCTGAAAGTTGTCCCAACTTCAGATCTTAAAAAAGAATACACTAAAATATTTGTAAAAGATCATGGAATATTTTTTCAACGTTCCAAATGCATGAAGCATATATACCTCCCACGTTCCACACCTGGACCTTCGCCCATTACTAAGATATTCGCAGGTTTGAGGTCCCTATGCAAAATCCAGTTTGAATGTAAGTAATGAATTCCGTCCAGTATTTGATATAAGAGACTTTTTACCATTCCCTGAAAAGGTTCAAAGCATTAATAAAAAGAAGAAAGCAATTTGAAGTAATGATATTAAGTTTTTAGGAATAGTCAGAGTTAATAAAACCAGTTCCTATTGTAAACTAATACAATTGAAAAGAAACATAGAAATGTAGGAATGGATATGAATTGTGTATGATTTATCAAGTATACTATGATGATTTACTTTCGGGACCAACACTGGTTGTTTCTTCTGTTTTGCAGCTCGGTGAAACTTGATGATATGCCATAAGTCGTGCTCGGCATAATCAAACAGTAGCCACACTTTTCGATCGGTCGTTAGAAATACTCGTTGCAATTTGATTAAATTTGGATGTCTGAATAATAATCATAATTCAAAACAAACTGACTACTCAAGACAGAAAATAGTAGTTTAATGTTGAAAACTAACTTTAACTCTCTCAATAATGCTATTTCTCGACAAGCCGACATCGAAAAACCTTGGCCTTCAATTAGCTTTAAAGCGAACTCTTTAGCTCCATTTTCTGGAATTTGTTCTGGATGCCGTGGTTGTGCTTTGTAAACATGTCCATAAGTCCCTCTTCCAACCTATGAAAATGACTTCAATGACTTGATCTAGAAATTATTGAAGAGAAAAAAAAACATTAATGGAAAATTTTTTACTATATTCCATCAAAAGCAAATTTTGTTCCATGAAGAAACACTTTAAATTCTGGGCTTCACAGTTTACAATCGGTAATCTCATTCATTAATCAAATGCAATCAGTTAATAAAATACCTTAAAGCCTTCAAAAGAATAAAGATCTTCAACACGTTCCCGTGTTTTTATAAGCTCTTCCTTGAACTGATAATCAATCATAGCAACTTCCACGTTTTTACATTCCACAAAGCCATGGTACTTCTTTACAATGCCAAAAGGACAAACTGTTATTAAGAACCAGAAGTGTTTGGAATTACTTTTCTGTCTCTGGAATAGCCAATTCAATTTTCACACCGCAATCAATAAAGCCCAATTCTGCCCGATATTACACATATACATACTTGATTAAATGAAAAAATATTTAGATGATGTCATTTCTTCAGCTATGCTAATTTTACATCATTGCGCTAACTTTAAACTTTCATGATTCAAGATACATGTATATATATATTTCCATCAAATTAAAAGTACCTACCAGAGTTGATTAAACTGCAATAATCTGTACAGCGATACGCCGTAATAAACTTTTATTAACGTTCCTTTGAGGAATTACACGGAACATAATCTTTGAAATTCCACTTATTAAAATGTACTTCAAAAGGAAGTGATTAATCGTAACTTTCCACATAAACTTTAATCTACTTTAACTCTCGACTAAAATTATGTAGTAACTTCGTTCAAATTTCTTGATAAAGATGGAAAAAAACAATTTTTTAGACAAAAAAACAATTTAAAAACTTAAAGAAATAATCGCCAACAAAAGAACTTGAAGAAAGTAATAACAAAAAAATTTCCTTTCAATTTTTTAGAAGAAAAAAAAATTAATGAAGACCATTTTTTTATCGAATCTAATAACAAAAATACAAAACAAGCAATTCTCAGCTACTTTTTGGGAATTTTATACAACGGTTCTAGTTCTGCATCAGCTTCTTCCTCTTCCGGTGCGGTTGTCTTTTCTTGAAAAATTGTAACTGGCTGATTTTTGAGGTATGCCTTCGTAACATAGTATGGGTTTTTCTCTGCCTATAAATAAAATGAATTCATTAATAAAAGATTGAGATTTTATAAGAGAAAGATATAAAGAGCGAAATTCTCAAAGGATAAACAACAAACCTCTTCAGCGTGACGTAGAATAGAAGCACGCACGTCAGTATCAGCAAGGAAATCACGATTCCGTTTTGTACCTACTTGTTTAGCGATATACGAATGCAATGTTCCACCTGAAGCAGCTACCCGACCACCCGAACCTAAAAATAAAACCTAAGCGGAACAAAACTTCTCAATCAAACTAACATAATTAGAGATAAAAACGAATTAGTTTATATAAAAATAAAATAAGAAAATGAAATAGTCCCATCAAATTAAAGAATTATTCCGCTAACTTGGTCCACTCATTGGCATGTCAGCAGGCTTTCGGAAGTCAGGACGTAACTTGTTGTCCATCATTCGCAAATATTTCTTTAGTCGCCAAGTTGTAACTTCTTTCTCTTCACCTTCCTCACCTCTCGGTTGGAACATTTCTAAGGTCAGTGCTGAAAATTGCAGTGGATTAGTCTATTAATGTACACTGTTGATAATGGAATGCAATACCTTTATAAAAATGAAAAAACTTACGTGATAGCACTAATTCTTCGCGAATTACTTCTTGCTGACGAGTTCTTCTCAGTGGTCGTGAAACACAAAGTAGGGCACCTCTTACACTGTTTACAGGATCATAATATAATCGAAGTGAACCATCACTCAAACCAACAAGGATTTGATTAATTTTGGGCTGCCAAGAGATCCTAATACAACTCTGAAAATTACAGATTGGAGATGTTGTAACAATAATTGTTTCTGGGAATGCATATATCTACAATATGAAAAACCAACTAATTTCGGATATGTAATTCGATAAACAAGATCAAAGGATTCCGAATCAAAGAAAACGAGCATTCCATCAGATCTACTCTCATCATCAAACGAAGTACCGGTGTAAACCATTTCACCATGAGGAGCAAAACCGCAATCCGTGCTGTAAAAATACTGCTTTTATACAGTCGAATAATATCCGCATTGCAACTTCAAACAACTTGAATTAAAATAATTCATTACAAAGTCTGCTGTTCTCTATAGAGCATTACATAAACCACTGTCCGTTTAGTCTTCACGCACAACGATTAACTGCTCAAATAAAAAATTTTTTAAAATTACCTTATAAATTCATTTTTCAAATTCTCCACAACATGGCATGGTTTATTGAATGTTTCAAGTTTCCATAACTTTAACGTGCCATCAACTGTAATAAGTTTCTCTACGGTTAAAGAATTGTGAAAGGAACGCAATTCAAAAAAGAAAATCAAGAATATTTTACGTGATCTTGAGAGGATTTGTTTACTGTTTGGTGAGAACTGTAGCGAAGTAATCGGTGCGGTATGAGCAGTTCTATTCAAATATGAAGTATTAACCTGCAAATAGCGAAAAAAATTCTGCAACTCTTTTGATTATTTTGAAACTTGTTCTTGTAAATTCAGTATTATATATTATAAATCAATGTATATATGTTTGGTTTAAACTCTTAAAACTTACATAAAGATTTCCATGTTTCCATATTTGTATAGACCCATCATCACACCCAGCCGCAATGTATTTCCCATCTCGAGAGTAACAACATGTTGTCGGTGTAGCTCTTTTGCCAATAGCATTTTTTGTTTTGATTACTTTACGCTGCTTATTGATACAATGTGTGATTTCTTTGTAATCGTCTGTAGACCAAATTCGTAATGTTCTAAAATTTCGTTTTTTAAAATCTTTTTTTTCGCCGCTTTAACCATTTCGAATTTGATCAATAATCGAAAGTAATTAGAATAAGTATAATCATAAATAAATGAAATAAAAGTCAAACTTCATTTATTTTCGTAATAATAGTCATGATGTAACTAATATCACACTAAAGGAATGGACAAGCATTTAGTTTATATGTTTATGTTAAAACAGTAATATGATATTTGCAGCTTCCTATGTTTGAAAACTAACTTCATTTAATCCCTTCATATGGCTTAGGATGATGTGTAAAAACTATCACTAAATTAAACCAATGAGTTGCTTCTAGTATTAAAGATAAAACAAAATTTGGAATATTTAAAGTCCTTCTTTAACCCTCATGGTAATGGCAGCTGTGATTTAGCAACCAGTTCAAAGAAAGATTAATTTATCAAAATTCTGAACAATCAGAAGTAGGAAGGCAATTAAATCGAACAACTGCTCAAAGCAATGATCGTTTTCGACAGGAAAAACTTACCCATCATTAGCGCAAGATAAGAATTCCGTCTTCACAACTGGATGCCAACAGCAAGCATTGACCGATCCTGTGTGTCCCTTGGTATTAGACAAATCAACCAAATATTGATCACCTGTAGAATATATCACTATGGCGACGAAACAAACAGAAAATTTTCAAAACCAAAATTTAGTCATTAGAAATTATTTTACGATTGCTTGTTCAACTTACCACGAACAGTTTCGGCCCACTGTTTACCTTGCCGATCTAAGATATGAATTTGTGCGTGACCGCTAGCAATAAGCAATTTTTCACCATTCGAACTAAATGCTAATCCGTTGATGATATGACTGAAAACGAGATAAAATTGAAAAGGAAATAAATTTTTTTAGAATAAATCAAAGGCCCCAAACTAAAGCAAGTAAAAAACCAATAGCACAATAAACATATGACAGTAAATAAAAAATCTGAAAATAATGATAAAATCCACCTTTCGCAAGGCATAAGCTCACGTGAAGAACGTAAACTTAAATCCATTTTCTGGAATTCAAATAAATTCACGATATAATCATATCCACCACTAGCAAATTTCGTACCCTGCTGATCAAATGCCAATGCTGATACCTGAAACTTTTTGCAAATAACCAATAACCAGACAAAGGATACAGAGATATTTGGTACAGAAACCAGAAAAAACAAACAGATCAAGAAAAAAATTAACTGGTTTCTTCCCGTGGTGCAACTGTGCTTCGGAAGCAGCAGGTATGAGATCGACGACAGGAATCTGAAAATATTTTTTAAACAAAAAATACCATATGTAAAACAAAGTTAGAAAACGAAAATTTCAGAGCAAACAATTAAATTGGTAGAAAAAACAAAATTTCCCCAGTTACTAAATATAAAAACAAAGTACTTACTGCGTCATCCAGAAATTCATCATCGTCATCATTATTATCATCATTTTTGGGTTTTTTTCTCTCGAAAATCTCTTTATCTGGTACAAAGCCTTCAGGTAAAGGGACAGAAAATTCTTCAAAATCATTGTCGTTTTCTGAATTTGAATTACAGTAAATAAAAATTGTTTAAACTACTAGTTTAATATAACAATCTAAAACTCGTTATGTTCTGTCCTGAAAACATACTCATTAATGCTCTTAAAACTATAGATTTGCTTCTCAAAGCTTTTCTTTTAGCTTTAGCTTAAATGAAAGGCACCTTCAACTGAAGCTTTAGCTAGTTTTACTGACAACGAACAGCCAACTGATTCATCAAAAACCTGAAAATAATTTCATTAAAACTCCAAAAGTACTATTAATGCAGCTAAACGGTGACCATAAATGAATGCTATCGAATAAAAAGGAATGTAAATAATGTGACACTTATTTCATTACAAAGCATTACCATAATTAAATTATGAAAATACTTGATAATAAATTTATTGAAAGATTACAATGAAGTAAAGCTAGAGTAAACTGATGGCGCGCAAAAAAATCATTGTCAATGGGAGAAATTTTTTTAATACTGAGAAAACTACACGTAGAACCCATAAAACCACATATAGAACCCACACGAAATTTTCAAGTTATCCAAAATAGATTACTTTGAAGGTTGGAATATTTGTCAAAGTCTCTGCTCAGTTTGCTAATAAATTACCTAACATTCAGGATGAAATGTACAAAATAATCAATTGATTATAATGACCTTCGTTACTACTGTCTTTCATTTTCATGTTATTTCATGGTTATTCCATAATATTGTAACTGTACAAATAAATTAATAGGTAGAGAGATAAGAAAAACAAACATGGCGAGATTGTCCACTTGAATCGAATTCTCCTCCACAGGAACTTTTGTCATTATCGGTTGTTTCTTGATTGCTTTCTTTATCAAATGTTTCAGCTGTCCGCGTGAGCGCGCTTCTTCTGGCTTCCATGAACATCGTCTCAAAATCGAATTGTCGAGCTTTCTTCGAGGCATTTTTTTGTTGCGGAGTTTCCATTTTTTCATTGCTTTCCGCAGTTTTGCTCTCGCCTTCTAAAACAAAAAAAAAAAAAAACGTTACTTTCGACACTTAACCTTCGTCAAAAAAATGAACAGTATCACAAACAGCGAGCAAATAATACCAGTAAAATATTGGAGTAACTGCTTTTCGAGCTCTTACTATTATGCATCAAAAAATCAAAAGACTAAACGGATAGAAAAAAAGTAAAACTACCTTTTTCTTCCTTTTGCTCATGCATTTGCGTGACATTATTCATGAAAATGCAAACAGTAGGTCTGCAAAATATAGAGTATAGTCAAAAATTTGTATTCAACATTTATTTTTCAGAGGAATACTTTTTTACAAATTAATTCGCATGTAAAGCTTGAACAGGAGCTTCTATAGATATAAACCATATGAAAAGTCTAAAATTCTTCTCATCAATTAAGAATTTTACATTTATGCCTAAGCTTAAACAAATCGAGAAAAAAGAGAATGCTAGAGAAAAAAGAGAATCTCAAGAAGCGTACCAAAAAGTTGGCACAATTATGGAGCATTTGGGTAGGATTAGAAGAAAAAATATTAGTACAAGAAATTATAAAGAATGAAAAACTTAACAATCAGTAATTTTGAAAAATCAGTAAAGAAATGAGCAAACTTTTACTTTCCTTAGAAGAGCGAATATTCGGCTACAATTGAAATGGTATTTAGAATGGATAAATTATGATTGTGACAGTAAACTCATTACTTTAAAAAGTCAAGTAAAGAATGCATGAAAATAAATGATAACCTACAGACTTTATCTCATAATTTACGTTTTTAAATCAGAGTTTGAAAAAAAAAAAAACTACACTAACGAAGTGACTAAGAAAAATTAAGCCCTTTCATATTCACTTGCGATAAAATCTCAGCAGAACAATGTAACCAATCGCAAGAAACTAATTTATCGTTCTATTGCAACTTGAGCATTAGCCCGTATATGTTGAACGCTGCCTATTCTTTATCTATCTCTTCTCCCTCTCCCCCTTTCTTTATCTCTTTCCTTGCTTTTTCACTCTCTGCTATTGAAGTGTAACTATTTTCAAATTTTCTCAATCTTTGTTTATGTGTTGCTTTGTAATTTCGTGTGTACTTGAGATTGTCTATTCTGAACGTATTGATTTATTTTTTCTTCAATTTCCTTCTTTTCTGCATGTCATGTGGGTTGCGTACCCTTTCTCGTACGTGATCTACGGAAAATCTGTGATATTTGTATGTAAGTAAAGTAAATCTATTATTGAGTAAATATTGGCACCTGATATTTTCAGATATTTCAATGCCTGCTGAGGAAACTGATTTGATCACACATTTATTGGCAGACAATCGTAAACTTCGACAGCTTTATTTAGCTGAGCAAAAAAAAGCATTGACGGAGCGAAAGCGACGGATTGTAGCTGAGGCAAAACTTGCTGCTTTTCTTAGCAAAGAAGTTATCGGAAGAAAGGAGCGAAATTTGTATGTGCGATGTTAATTTTATATTAAAAATATCAAAATAACTATTGATTGTTAAAAATATATGTAAATGAATGTTGGTATGCATTGTAGTTGAATGTTTTTGAAAAAAATTCTCAAAGAATCAAAATTCAGATAAATGGTGACATCTCATTAGATTCTTCAACAGCTGTTGATGACATTTATGTTGATATTTTTACCATATTTTAGCTTGCTTTTTTAAAAGCTCTTATTGTTGGATCTATTTATATCAGTTCATATCATCATAGTCGCATTTAGGTTACACAATTCATGTCTGGATCATGATTTGTCTATTGTCAACAACACACACAAAGTATGCATTTTGGATATTCAAGGAATGAAAAAAAAAAATGGAATAAATTTATTCTTTAAAATTATTCCTCCGTAAACATTTAACTATTTTTCTTTCTATGCTTCTTGTGTTGAAGTATTGGATTGTGCAGTATGGAATTGTTGAAGTATGAGATTATACATTATGTATGTGGTTATTTCACACGATACTTATAGCGATTGCTTTCAGGATATACTAAAAAATGATCGAAATTCTAATTCTATTGATTCTTCCAACGACGATCAACTTGCTTTGTTAGTTAAAAACAATATCAGACTATGTCAAAAAAACATTTCTACTTCGAGAAGCCTTATCGGTTGTATAACCAACTCAAATTGTAGCATGCATGATAATATTGCTGAAAGTGATGGTAAAATCAATTTATCACATGTTAGTCTTTGAAGTCTTTTCTTTCAGATATTTCCAAGCTTTTTTTTTATATAACCGTTTGGCAAAGATGTCCTTTATCCTTTCAGATTTTTCGTATGATTGATTAATTTTTTTCCAATTTTGATTTGAATTTCAATTTATTGTTGGTAGTGTTTAAGACTCAAAAAATTCCAAAATATCACATGTCAGTTGGGCAAGACAAGCATAAAAATCTAAGCGACTGAATTCAGCAATCCCTAATCATAATCATTTAGACTATTCTTTTCTTGCAGTCCGTCATGTCTAGTGAGCAATCCACTGATTCATTAAATAATAAAGCAAACAGCGCCCAATGCTCTTTCAAATTACCACAGAATAATTTTGAGAAGCCAGGACCGACAAAACTTAGTAAATTTTGGTTATTTATTGACAGAAATGGAGAGACAAAGTCATCGATACCTCCTCCACTTAATGTAGGTTTTTTTTTTTTTTTTTTTAAGAAACGAGGACACAGTTTACTGAATTTTGACTTTGGTTAAAGGTTAAATTTACTATGCAAAGTGGAATTCGGGTTTTAATGTATTTGCCAATAAATTACGTATGGATCGGAATGGAATAATTTTTTTGCTACTATTATTGTTTATAGCTCAATAAAATGAAATCACTTTTAATTATATATTTTCAGGAGATACAACAAAAACGAAAAGATGCATTTATAAGGCGAAGCACTCAACGTCAAATTCTTATTCGAGAAGCGTCAGTGTGCCGCAAAGAACTTGCAGCTGCAAAGCGTAAAGTTGCAAAACAGTTGTTGGCTGGACATGCAGTAAATCGAAATGCTTTCAAAGTGCTTAGTTTAATGGATCGGGAAATTTGCGCATTTCCACCTCAAACGATGGTGCACGAAACTACCAGGTGAAACTAATGCCATTTTTTTTAGCGAAAAGTGTGTAGCTTGTCATTATACGCCAACTTTTTGAAATATCTTGCAGACGCGTTCGTAAAACGAGAGAATTTCAAGACAAAAAAAAGCGACGACGAGAAGAATACGATGCACACATCAATCGTCTGCTAGCATATTGCTACAGTCAGGTATATTTAAAATTCCGATAATTCTTTCTAAGCTAGAATCATTTGAGATTTTTCCAACTGAAAAAATTGTATTTATCAGACAATTTTTGTTTTTTGTTTCTTTTTTCAGGCGCCTTACAAACTTAATCGATGAAGACAAGTATGAATTAAAATAGTTCCATTGCAGTGATTTTTCATTAGTCTCGGACTTTTATATTGAAGTCAGCTTTTCATGTAATTTAATTTTATTGTTTTACAACTACTTTTTGGAGAGGATGAGGGTCCAGATTTCTTTCAGTTTTTATAGCGTTAAGTGGAGCTTGAATAAAAGTTTGTGACTCCTTTTCTGCTAGAAACTTACGCTTATTATTGTAAACATTGTTACTATCAGTCGTATTACAGAATTCTTTGTATATTGTTGTATAAATCTCATTAATTTTATATATTTTGACTTTTTTTTGAATACTATTATATATGAGTGAAAAGTGAACATATTATGTTGCGTAAATTTGAATTTCCGAGAAGATTTAATCTTATAAAATTTATTAGGAAGCAATTTTAAATAACGCTTTACAATTAAGAATAATTAATCACAAGAAGAACGAGTTAACGTTATCTATTTTGCATTTTTTTCTCCAAGGAGATTTGTTTTAACATATTTACCTTTAATCCAGAATGCTAATCAAATTATCCTTAATCCGAAATATCAATTAATAGTCTACAAGACTTCTGAAGAAAATAGGAAGGAGATGAATTTTTTTTTTTTGATTGTAGGAATTATGGCTTAAATATTAATATTTGCTCTATATAGGAAATTGAAATCCAACTCTTAGGATGGAAGCAAAATGAGTATGCCAGTTTTGCTTTTTTATCTAATCCTTCGATTTTGCCGCAATTTTTTTTAAAATTTCCTATGCACTGCAAACTTGTAATGCACTATTTTAGTTAAAAAATCACTAATGAAATATTGGTGGTTAAAAATAAATCACCGATTTCTGAAATTTAGAAAGTGCTCTGCTAATCGGTTTACACTTTATACCATGGTAAGTTGCATACTTAAACATATATAATATTAACAAGAAGAAAGATTGGGTTTATCTTACTAAAATAATTTCCTCAATATAGTCACAAAAGCTCTATGTAAGCTTATCAATCGATTTCACTAATTTTAGGTTCACCGGAAATAAATGACCTGAAATGAAGAATGTTACAAGGATTCGACTCTGTTCATACTTAACAAAGTTGCGAGCCTATGAAAGTTAGAATGTTACAAGGATTCAACCTTGTTTATCCTTAACAAACTTGCAAGCCTATAAAAGATATCCATATGAAGAAATAGGAAATTCAATGGAGTGAATAGTGATTTCAGATATTTTAAATTTTCGGAGGAACCGATTGTTCGTTTCGACAATTCCCGCTAGACCTTTGAAATCATCTCAGCAATTTTTTCTTTTCAAGTGTAAGTACACTTGATTTTGTAATCCCTGACGGATTCGATAATGTGATCATTCCTCTGATATGCATAACTATTTCTGGACAATTTTGTATTAATTTAAACTTCTCAAGCTATCAGCTTCTTAATGGGAGGAAAAATTGAAAAAGGAATGAATCGGGAGTTATGCAACTAATGTTTTCACATTTCTTGTGATTGCTTTCAGTTCTATCCTCTTTACAGTAATTGTTCTTAATTTATCATGAGAAATGATGTAATTATCGTTTACAGTTTATTATTTCCTTTGGAAAATATCGCATTGTTTCAATTGTTAATTTTTTTTCTCGAGAGCAATTATTCGAAATTAATTATCCGTCGGTATTATTAATGAAGGTGCAAAGTTTACCAACTAATCATTTCCCTGATCAAAAATTATTAAATTAGCAATACCAATTATCTCCACTACGTTTAGCCGATAAATTGACAAAGCTATCAGTGATATTTGGGCAGTCTACTCTTTGTCCTCCTGCATACTGTGTGGTATCTTATCAGCTTTTTGTCAGAATGCATCTAACAGAGCTCTCCAACTGCTTAAACTTTATCACTTCCGTACTGTGATACGGAAGTAATAAAGATATAGCGCTTAGATTAGATCTTCGAAAATAATCAAGATTGAAATCAAGATCAGGATAAGTATCGCAATTCAACAGAAACGATTTTTGAATTTCATACATTTTCTCCTTGCTAACGCAACATTAATGCCGTTCTTTTGTTGCGAATGATTTCCTTACAGCTAAATGTATATCTTACTAATATAAATAGAAATTTTTGAAAAAATTCATCATCATATTCATGTTTACTTAATAAATGAAAAATAGAATTTACGTTTTCTTTTTTGAAATTCATAAATATGAAATTACAGATGGGTAAAATAAAATGAGAAATTAAATTACATTACATTTAATTAAATGTCAAAGGAAAATTTTTACTTTTGAAATTACTTATTATCATTATGGCGCTTTTCATTAACAACTAAATTACTTTAAGTATTGAATGCTTCACTACAATAATAGTGGAAATTTTAAAAAAGAAAAAAGTTTCATTTTTAATAGATTTTTTTTTTAACATTTCATCAAATTCATTTTACTCATTCATTGTTATTATTGATTTGAGTGTTATTTACAAAAGCATTTCTGAAATTATTTAGGCTTGTTATTTTTCAGATTTTTTCTTCTTTTTTTGTAACCATATGTTTGCAGTTGTTGTAGTTGCAGTATGCAGTAGCAATGCTTCAGATGGTGTATGCTTTTGACACTTTTCCTATCATTATTGTGTGATACGATTTAAAAACACAACCAAGCATCTGTCTCATTTTAATTTCAGCTAACATACGAACTCCGTGTGTGTGCGTGTGTGTGTGTGTGTGTGTGTGTGTGTGTGTGTGTGTGTGTGTGTGTGTGTGTCTGTGTGTGCGTATGTTGTATGTGTGCCTCACCTAATCATCCATTTAATTTCTTTAATACCGCCTGTATATTATCTTTCTAAAAATTTATTTTCATCTTTTTAATATATGTTATTAGTTCGTATAAAAGATTCGTATAAAAGAGTTTACTATTTTACAAAAACATTGGAAAGCGTTTCATTTTATTTCAATTCCATAATTTCTTTTTTATCCAATATTTATTTTCTGAAAATGTATAAAAATTAAAAAAGACTGATTAAAAGAATAGTTCAATTAATACACTTGCATATTACACATTCCAAATATAGACCATGAAAACAAACAATCAATATCTGCTCTATTGATTATTGATTAGTTAGCAATTAGATAGAAGTTATTTAAAATTTTTTTTTCCAAGAGCAAAATTCCAAATTAAAGCAATATATTTTCCTAATTAATCATTTCATCTCTATCTTCATAATCATATTACTCCAATAATACCACTTATTCTTATATGCTTAAAATTTTTTATAAATAATTGAACATCTATTAATTATTTATTGAAATAAGAAAGAAAAGCAAATATATGTGTAACCATCAAAGTAGCTTTATAATAATATTTCAAAATATTTTTCTTTGTTTACTAATCAATAACTGAAAAGGAAACAATTAATGCTTATCATCAAAAGAGAAAGAGAGAGAGAGAAAGAGAGAAAAAGAAAAAAAGATGGCACTATCAGTATTATTTTTATCATTTGAAACATTTTTTAAAATTTCTTTTAAACCTAAAGTTTCTTCTAAGTAAGTAATATTGTTATGAAAAGTGTCGGCAAATGATCAATTCTTTTAGAAATGAAATAGACAGAATGATGAATTTACGATAACAATAAATGCCTTTTGTTGACAATAAAAACATTAATTTTCCTCATCACAATTATTTCTGCTCATCATTCTATACTATTTCCTATATATATTCATGTATGCATGTGAGTATGTATGTATGTGTATGTGTGCATGTAGGTGTGCGTGCATGTATATATGTGCACATGCATGTGTATGATGTATGTATGTGCATGTATGTACGCATGCATGTATGTGTATATGTGAATATATATGTATGTGAATGTGTGTATGTGAACATGTTGTGTGCATGTGTGTGTATGTATGTGTATGTGCATTGCATGTATGTGAATATGTGTGAATATGTATGTGTGCATACATGTGTATGTTTATGTATGTGAATGTGTGCATGTATATATTTGTGTGCATAAATTTGAAATGAAAATGATTAAAATTATGTTAGACATGGGAAATAACAAAGAGAATGACCATATTTCGACAACGATTTATTCACTTTTTCATATACATACGCACACACACACACACACACACACACACACACACACACACACACACACACACACACACACTCTCTCTTTCTCTGTCTCCCTCTCTCAAATTATCTGAAGAATTAATTTACGATCAGAAGAAAAAAAAATTACTGAACGAAATTTGCATTTCTTCAAAACGCTACTGCTGTTTGGCGATTGGCGGTGATTGACAGACAGTTGACGATTGTCCGATAGCTGATTGATAATGAAGCTTATGATAATGATGGAGGGAGGAAGGAAGGAAGCGATGAATGGGGCAGGACAGAAGTTATACTCAATTCCGATGAAATTACTCGAGAGGGATGTGTGTGTGTGTGTGTGTGTGTTAGTGATGAAGAGGAATGGCCAAGTGGAAATTGAGCCTCGTGGCTTCAATCCGGACAATATGGAATAAAACATGTGTGCAAATATGCATTTATAGTAATTTAGTTATTCTGGATGACATAGATGGCCTAAAATTGGTTGAAATATATTTTGATGGGAAGGGATAATAGGGAGGCCGTTAGAGGATGCCTTAAAACTTAGAGGAGGAAAAAAAAAAGAGAGGATGGAATTGGATGAGAGGGTCAGTCAATGAAGAAACTATTTGAAATATGTGAATGCATCAAATAGATGAGACTGCTAAATAGGCCTAACCTCTCTTCTCCATCCTTTTTGGCCTTTTCTCTATAGTAAACGCTAATTTTAGTTCATTTCCTTTGCTATTTCCTTTAGCTCTTCATCGTTCCATTCCAACAGACCTCACATACATTCACATGCACACATACATTCACATACATACACTTTTCAGAAAACATTTTTCAATATGCTTGCCCGGCTTCAATGATAAACAACGTTATGCCTTTCCAGTTGCCAACATGTCCTAAACCACATCGCCCTCATATATCCTT